CAGCTAGATTCACTTTCCTATCACAAAAAAATACTGTTGAAGAAAATCGAAGCAATTTTACTGTCCTAAAAGGTGATGACAGACAAAAATAAATGTAAAATCATTACATTCAGCGCTCCACTCAGAATCTAAAATGATGTAGATTCTACTTTACCAAACAAACTTGTACAATTTAGAGAATAGTGGAGGCTTTGTCAACCTTCTTTTTATCCAACTGACATTCCCAAATTATTTGACTGGTTTGGTAATCAATCATTCAGAGGTATTTCCTTCCTTAAATATAATCCTTTTTTTTAAATATAATTTCAATTACTGTACCTAATTGTTCTGCAAAGAGCTTTTTTTAAATTAACTAGAGTAAAAATAAGTATAGAACCAAGATTTTTCCAGGTCAAATCCAAGAAAACTTAGGTATACAAATGATTTTATATTCTGAGAACGATTTGTTAAAATCATTAGACTCAAATGAAGTACTAAGAGAGTTAGCTTCAAGTAAAGCAAGAAAAAAAAATGTATTTGATAAAATGGTTTTTATTTTATATATATTTGTTTGATATTTACTGTTTGTTGTGAATAAGTAGGCATACTGTTAATATATTTAAAAGTTATTATGAAAATTTGAATTTAAATTGTGAATTTATGAAATAGGTAGTTAGAAAAATGTATACGTATTTACGTGCGAGCGGCTTTGTTAAGAATGTTTTGTCAAAAGGGCCCATTTGAAATTTCAGACCCGGGGTATAATAGGTTCTTAATCCGGCCTTGGATGTACAGCAAGGCAATAATACATTTAAAAAACAATTAATTGTTAACTAATATCTACTAGTTACTACCTAATACCAAGTCAATTGAGTATTGGCAGTATTATGATAGTCATAAAGATATCGGAATATCGATACCTAATTTTTTTTTTTTCAATATCCCAAAATTCAAAATATATTGTTGAAGAAGTCTAGGTTTATACATTCAATTTATAATGGTCAATACAACTAATTGGTGGCTAGATCTTCTTAAGTCCCGTAAATATATATATATTTTTGTAGTTATGTACCTATGTGTCTTATTCGTGGTTTGACAAGTATATAGAATGTACCAAGATTTTCAAATAGAAATTGGAATATAGTAATAGTAATACGTACCGACCGGTTTTGGACTCAGACTTCGGTACGAGTCTATATGTAACTATTTCATTTCAATATTATTTTTGGAAATCATGTAGTAGAGTAGATCTGAAAAATATAAAAAATAAAAATGTTTTTTATCATAACTTAAATTCAATTTTGGAAAAGAGTGACAATATATGAATTTAAACTCATATTAAGTCAACATTACCATTATATATTTTATAATATTAATACCATATTCTAAACAAGATGAGAGAGAACAAATGGAGTAGTGACATTAATGCTTAAGAGGACGTCTCACCCGCATGTGTTGTCTCCGTCTTACACACTTACGACAAGCAAATTTTCGTTTGCTAGTTTCAATAGGGTATTGTCAGTTTTGATATTAGAGTGAATCTACCTATTATCAAACTTTTAGGTTACAACATTATCTGTATTCTCTCATTGGTTTTTTATGATATTTTAATTTTTAAGTGAGTTATGAACATTTTATGAATATGGGTATGAATACTTTACATACCTATAACTCACTTAAAAATTAAAATATCGTAAAAAACCAACTAGAGAACACAGATAATGTTGTTACCTAAAAGTTTGATGATAGGTCAATTCACTCTAATATAAAAACTGACAATATCCTATTGAAACTAGCCATCGAACATTTGCTATGTCGTATGTGTTGTCTCACTCTTTCAAGTGTGTAACTAAACAAATTACGCTCAGGAGATCACGTTTAGCTCCGGTAAGTTTAAAAACTAGTGAATTTGCCTAGTATGAAACATAATAGTAAGAACATCTTAGTTTATATGTTGGATTATTACGATTGTTGAATTTTTTAGCAAGTTACAAAATGTATAATATAGCATTGATTAAAAATGCTCAAAACTGAATATATTATATATATTATCTAACCAAGGGAAGTTAATGATAATTTTTAACTAACAAGGTGTTAGTTGAAAGAAATTTTTTTTTTAATTATACATAGACAGTAATATTGTTTAATATAATAAAAAGTAAATGAGTATGCAATATGCATCATCAATAATAATCATATTATCTAATTATTTATAAGTTAACGATACTTTGATTTGATTAAAAGTAACTCTATTTATTGAGCTTATATAAATAAAAAATCAGTTAAGTAAATTAAAATTATAAAGGGCACTCATGGTTTAGTGATATTAAATGTGAATAAATAATATTATTAAAAAAAAAATAAATAAATACTAATAGCTCATATAAGAGTAATCTCAGATGGCGAACGTTTTTCATCCGGTTTGGTTAAACACACCCTTAAAATAAATTGGCTCTTGTTTATTCTCTCAGCACAAATACAATCTCGGTTATTATTCATGTTAGATTTAAGACCTACAATGATTTTAATTATAATGAAATTTCATAGTGAATTTTTTGGCCTACAATTTTACAAATTAACATTTTTAACATTAGTTTTTAAATTAAATGCACTACAATGAATAACCAAACAACCCTTACTTTCTTTCAGTAACTGCGCTCAACATCAAAAATATTAACATTCTTGGTAAAATTCATCATTGGTCAGTCATGATTCCTTCCTAATAAAAAAAAAAAAAACATTCTAATATAAAAAAAAATGTGATTTTCCATTTAAAAAAAAAATAGAAAAAATATCCTTAGATCCCCTAATATGCAACAAATTTTGGTGTTTCAAGTCGTCATTGTTAATATTAATAATTTTAAACATAAAATTTATATTCAAAAATAACTACCTAGGGTTCATGAACCTTAAAAGATTTTTTTGTACAAGAAAATGCAAAATAATTCCAAAATTTGTTGCTAAATACGAATCAATTTGGGTAAGAAACATTAGCGTTTATATAACAAACCCTACAGGAAAATAAACAGTTTACCTTTAGTATTTGGATGACCTACCTACGATTGACAATCGAGGTTTGCTGCCCTAAATTGAATCACCTATGTGGATTGACGAAAGCTTTAAATGCATTTGCTGACAGCTTAAGCCCTAACAGGCTAACATTCCTATAAATCATTTCTAATAAACCTAATTAAAATTCAATTTCTTTGTTTTTCAATAACTTGCACATAAAATATGTTAAAATGTATACCATTAGATAGCATTAATTATATTCAAATAAAATGCTTACCGGTGAATCAATCTACTGATTAACAGTAGATTGGTCGTGAGACTAATAACTTAGATTAACTAACATTTTCCAAGAAAAAAAAAAAATTAAACAGGAAAAAATATTTAGTTCTGGAAGTAATGCTATATGTTTCTATTTTTTAAAATGTATAGTATATAGAAAAAAACTTAAAAATAATTTGTCTTCATGTTCTTAACCATTAAAAAAAAATCTCACAATACTCAATATACAGAATTTTTAAATTAACATCAACAAAGTTTTGGATATGATGTCTAAAATTGACATTTGTATCTATACTCAGTCACAAAAGAGAATAAAGTTAGATGACCAATTTTTTTCTGTGTCGCGCATCTTCCACAAACCTGGTGTTAGCGAGACCAAGTGGTTATTGACATGCCAATTGCATCATTCACTCACAATGTGCAAAAGCCAAAAAGTAATAGTTCTCTTTTGAGACTGAGTATAATGTCTAGGAACTTAAAACTAATTAACTTAAATTGCTTGATATCTTATGGCATTTTTTTAATCATTATGCAATTGAATACTATTTTGAATTTTTTCTTGCTAAGCCTACTAGATACCAACTTTCTAACTTAAATGATAAAATATCAAGCCATTATTTTTAAAAATGGACACTGAAAGAAAATATATAAAATGTATTGATATAGTATATTATATAAAGATACAATTCATGTATACATTATTATTTACTAACTAATAGATATTTAAAATGCATACCTTACCTATATAATATAGAAACAGAATAAATATTGTTACCTATGTAATTTAATATTCAAAAAATGTGTATTTACATTTAGAAGCTAAATTACTGGAAGCAATATAGGAGTTTTAAATAATTTCAAGGTATATTCATAGATTGTGTATTTAAAGCACTAAACAATAAACTAAAAAAAGTTAAATAAACCAAGACACAAACTGAAATAATTAAAATTTAATGTTAAACATATTATACAAATGCCCACATTAATAATATAATTTCATAAATAAATATTTGCATAGTTCATTGTTATTAAGATTGTTATCTTTATTGTAAGAAAAAATATAACAATGCTATTGAATAAGTCCATTTAAAATAATTAAGTATAAATAAAAAATACTAATAACCTTTTAATTTGTTTGAATCAAAAGACTAGTTAAAAAACCAAATCAATAATTTTGAATATTCTACATATTTATTAAGACTAACATTAATGAAATTATTTATAACATTAAGTAACCTATATCCTAATTTACTGTCATAATAAAAAACTGTGAAAACACAATTTCCTCTTATACAAAATTGCTGAAAATATGTCAAATACTTAGGTAAGCTTCAATTAAAAAATACAAAAGAAAGATATAGTTGAGAAATATAAAAAGTATATTACCAATACAAAACACGTCATTATTGTACTTATTAGATAAATTTAATAAACTGAATGTGCAGTAGACGAGGATGAGAATGTATTTCAAATGACTGGCTCTTGTGTCATTAATACCCAACTCATGAACGGTTTTAAATAATACATAGAAATAACCGGTACGAGTTTCCTATTTTGGTTTATACTGCCTAACAGACTGCCTCCTCGGATCCTGCCTAACAATTTTCAAAAAATAAAAAACCATTTTAAATTAGAATCCTAAATATATAATATATACATTATAAAATAAATTGGGGTGACATTTTGGTTAATAGTTTTAACTTTGTTTACCTTTAGTTGAAAGTGATGTGTTAATACCGTCGACCAGGATTTTGACCATAGCCAGCATTACCTGCATTTACATTACCAGCTCCTAAATAAAGAAAAAATGACAAAATTAAATTTTGTGAACAAACGGGTATTAATGAATCAGTATATTAAATACAACTACCTGGGTTTCCATAAGGTGTAGTACGATTATTAGAGGTATAATTTGACCTCATCGGGCCACCACCACCACCGCCATAACTTTGATTTGGACCCCAGTTGTTACCTACATCATTCATCGAAATTAGACAAAAATAAATATTAAGAAAAAAAATTATAAAACTTACTAGGTTGTTGCGAGCCTCCCCAACTATCACCGCCGCCTCCTTGGTTGCCCCATGCTGGGTTATTGTTACCCCAACTTTGAGGAGCACCACCGCCGCCTTGCCAGGCTCCACCAGAATTAGAATTGTACCCACCTGCACTACCGCCATACCCACCACCGCCTCCGCCAGAGCCATATCCTCCTCCCATTCCAGAATTTCCATATCCTCCACCGCCGCCATTTGATCCTAATGGACAAAAAAAAAGGATCAAATATATATAAGATACATATCATATACACACTAAAAACAATAAATTACTCTAAAGATTTTTATGTAAAAATAATTATGTTTAAAATTGTAATAATAGAAGATTTTATATGTATACAGGAGAGCAATTTTTTTTAGCATTGTAAATAGGAACTAATCAGCAAGTACTAAGAAATATTAATTATCAAAAGAGTAGTATGTAGGTATTTATTTTTCAATATAGACTTATGTAAAAAGTTAAACTTGAAATCCATGGATACAATTAAATGTTGAGTGTATGCAAAATTAAAAATAGTTTTAAATATATATATAGATTCATATTTACTGTTATGATGTCCTCCCCATTGTTCGTTTCGCAGATTTCCTCCCCAGCTACTTCTATTACCACCGCCTCCTCCACCACCGCCACGACCACCACGGCCACCTCTGCCGCCACCAGCGCCATCACTACGACTAATAGCTTTTTTCACATCCAATTTTCCTCCAGCAACTTGGTGACTTTTTATCACTAATTTCAACAAACATGTTTTAATTTTAATAATACACTTTAATTTGTAATAATGTTACTCACAAACAGCTTTGTCAACTGAATCAGTATCATCATACTCAATAAATCCAAATCCTTTTCTTTGACCAGAATCTTTATCAGTTACTATTGTTACATTAGTGATATTGCCGAATTTTCCAAAATATTCAAGAAGATCATTTTCTGATTGTTCTTTTATACCAGACACAAACATTTTTTTTACAGTAGCTGCAATATCTGGTTTATCAATATCCTAAGATCATAAAAATAAAATATTTATAAGTTTAACAATAAACATTTATACTTATTTTTTGTTAAGTTAAAATAAGGAAAATTCAAAATAGTAGTTTCTCATACTTCAGTAAAATTAATTAATTTTTTTTTTAAATTGCATGTAACATATTATATAAGAAAAAAATATTTGATGTAAATATCATACGTCACGAGGTACAGCTCGTTTAGTTTCCACTTCACGACCATCAATTTTATGAGCCTATTTGACATGGCTTGATCAACAATAGATGATTGATTGAGATATGTAATAACCCAAAACCTCTAGATCTAATGCATTGAAACATTAAAATGATTAATAACTAGTTAAAGTATTAAACAAAGGAAAAAAAATCGGTTACCTTTTGGTTTGAGGGTCTTTCATGACAACGACATCCACAATTTCACCCCATTGCTCAAAAAATTCTTTGAGTGAATCATTAGTTGTGGTGTAGTTTAAACCACCAATGAATAATTTTCTGTATTGTTCTGGTTCCTACAGTAAAAGATACACTTTGGTTATGGTTGACATACAAATATTTCGTGTGTGCGGTTTTCAATGTATTAAGTAGGTACATGTATGTGTGTATAAAAGTAATAAAACAACGAATGCTATTGATTCGAATAAGGTAGGTTAGCTTTACTTACGTCAGATCCCATGATTGATGAGGAAAACTCGTTAATACGAACAAAATCAGAAAAAGTAATGCAAATAAAACGGTATATCTAGCACTGAAATCAACAATGTAAAACAAGAGTTCCAAGTTAATTTATTAGAAAAAATAATTGATGTTATAAGACTGAAATTCACAAACAAAATGGAAGCACACTCGCCCGACGGGTTGTTACGGTAAAACGAGTCAATAACTCGAAGTCGGAACGTAGGCGTCTGTGTGCGGTACAGCAAAATGGTGGACGGTTGATGTTGTATGACGCGGACGCTTGTAACAGTGTGAACAACCTAATTTAAAACGCACAAATATTAATTCTCTTTACCATGGCGGGAAAATAAACCATATTATAAATAAATTACCCATTAGAAATAATACTGATTTTTTTTCGTATAGTTTCCACGACGAAGAGTATTTTTTTCAAATAGGTTTTCTTCGTCCAAATAGACGCTACTGTCCTACGGGATAATAGGAAAATCCCGGTAGGCCCTCTTAAAAATTATAAGACCTGGGCCCCCTACCAAATAGGTACCTGTAGTTTCAGTTAAATACTGTAATTGTATTATTTTTAACAATAATAATATGGTTTTAAAATTATTTTAATTGAATAATTGAAAAGAGAACAATACATTAAAGGACAAATAAGAAATTTCGTTGGTTAGTTTTAATTACTGTTAAGCAACTGTTGGTGTACCCCTGCACTAAATTTGATCCATATTCTACAATTCGTAGGTATATTCTTTGAAAAACCAATCATTTTTATTTAGAATTCTAGTGAACACTCGACAAAGAAAACGCGGTATTCAGATACATGGTTAGGTTATTTTAGGCTCCGAATGTTTCTGTTTATAATAAAGTTATTATAAATTGCATGGATTATTATATCTTATTATTTATTATTATTATTATTTTTATTATCTTATTAACCTAGTAGTATTTTATTTCATTGATTTGAATTTCGTCGACTGTTGTTTCGTTGTTTTCTACAATTTTATCAGTTTGTACTGATTACCATACGGCCCAAACAGGTAAGTTTCTGATTTTTTTTAATTTCTAGAATTATAAATGTGTGTCTAGTAGGTAATACAAACTACTAAAAAATAATTTGAATAAATTAAAATAGTTTATAATTTAAAATGATTTAGATTTGGTGTGTTGAACCTAATTAGTGGATATACTTATATATATAAAGGGTCTATCTTCCATTGTTGAAGCGGGGGGTTGTTTTAACGATATGGATCGAGAAGTAGAATTTCGTTAAAACGAAAGAAATACGGTTCCTTTATACTATGATGACAGACGCACATAAAAAAAAATAGTAGATATCTTCGAATAATAATCAATATAAAATATTTCATTATATTTTAATCAAGAATATCATATACAAAATATGTTACTGATCTTCTACAAATATTAACATATTTTAAAATAGGATGAATAAAATAAAAATAAATATGTATGAACCAGAATATTTAAATTAAGAGGTACTTTCACAGTACATAAAACATATTTTTTAATTCAAAATAATATTTCTTAAAACATAACTCAAAAGGAAAAACCAAAAAAGTATTACTTCTAAACTTAATGACAATTTTTCCAGTATATTATATAAACTGGACTTAAATCAATGAATTGTAGAAATGATAATTATTTATTATTTATTCTTATAATTTACTTTCATCCACCCAAGATAAAAAATATTCAATCTTTTTCAGTAACAAACGTACTTTCTTAATGTCTACAAGTATCGAATAATTGGCTTTAGCATCAGGGAAACTTCTATTAAATTCTCCTTGTTCTGTTTTTTCTGGAAACAAAATAATCAAAATATAGAACACAAATACAATTCTGTTGCCTAAATATGTTTTAACATACTCAATGAAATATTTTTTTGCTCATTTTTATACATTGTCAGTAAATTATGTATATCAGATAAAGCTAATTTTATGTTATAATTGCAGTTGGAATCCAAACCATTACTAAATATTGTTTCCAAGTCGTTATTTATAAGAATAAAACCTTCTTGAAAACCTTTGAACATTTCATGCTGAAAACCAAAATAAAATAAAACATAATAGTTATCTCAGTATTCAATGTTTGTATTATTAATTAACTAAAATTATTTATTACCTCTTGAATACAAAGCTCAACAGATTTGACAGCTATGTCATAAGATTCAAAATTCTGATTAAGACATAGATTTTTTGACAAATTATAAAGTCCATTGATAAATTCTGATAAATATGATTTATGTTTTCCATTATAATACCGTATCAAAAACACATATGGAGTAATCATATTGACTAAATTCCATTGAATGCAATCCGATGGTGATTTTTTCTAAACAAAACACCTTAATTACATTACAAGAACACAAAAGTAGGTAATAGGTATTAACACTCTAAGGAGTGAATTAAAAATACACAAGTATTACTCAAAGAGGCGATTAGGAATGAAATTTTACTATTTTTTTTATCAATTTTGGAAAAATTATGTATATTTACATCTCCCTTTATAGTTTTCTCACCATATACACATCAAGCATCTCTGTCAGACTTGTAGCTTATATGTGATTCAAATTATTTACTTAATTTGAAGTACCTAATTATTTACTATTTATTTAATTATTTATTTTTTAGATGGGTATGAATCAATCCATCGAGACAGGGATCCATCCATAGTATAATATAATATAAGGTAAAACCATATGAAATAAAATCAAATATCAGCGATAAAAACGTAGATATACGTCATTGCTTTTTTAGCACAATTTTTTACATCATTATACATGACAATGCTTGTGAAAGGGTTAAAACAAAAAATTTTGATTCATACAAAGAAATTAGTGGTAGCAACTCTCATCTCAATAATGTATTACTTTTTATTGCAAAGTATAAATAATTTTTGCTAGCGCCTTTTAAATAAAAGATATAATGGGAAATAAAATAATTTAGTTCCTAAACCGGAGTTATAAATTGTGACTTAATAGTTAATACCCTTATGGACTAAAGTAGTGAAACACTAAACAATTTTAATTTAATCTTATAAAAACTATACCAAATAAATGTACTTAATATTTAAATGTATTAATTAATTTGTATATTAAACACCTAGGTACTTACTGAAAGTATAGATAATTTTGGAATGTTTGTTATTAAATGTGGAAACTCACTATCATTCATATTCTCACCAACTTCAGTTACTATTTGTTTTTCAATCCTATAATATAATATAATTATTAATTTTTGAAAAATATATTGGATTAATTTAATAAGTTCAATTACGGTAAACACCACCAAGGAGTAAACTGAGGTAGAATTTTAGAGATATCACCAGACTTAACAAGATGTTCAAATTCTGCTTTTTCTGAATCGGTTAAATAACTCCAAACTACCTCAGCATCATTTAGATCAATCCCATTCAATCGGTCATTGATATCTGTGAATTCTTCATCATCTGAATCACTTTCTGTATAAAATAGGTATATATTTAAATAATTATTAATATTAAATTAATTGTATTTTTATTATTGGTAAAAATTATATCATACATAATATTATGTAATATACCAGATATACTTATACTCTATTCAGAATAAAAATAAAAAAAAATAACGACGAAACAGCGTCATGTACGCGCATGTGTAGACTCGTTGCCTGCCGTCGGTGAGCTGTCGACTACTGGCCAATTACAGTCGTCTTATCGTTCCGGGGCTGAGCAGTTTATCCATTCTTATTCTGAATAGAGTATAGTAGTCTTCAATATCAATATCAAATAATGTGTAAATATGCAGACTTAATGTTGATGTAAATACTAAATTGGGGCAAATGGCCCAGTTGCCCCCCCCCCCTCCACTAAATGACACAACTGTTATCTAGTGAACCACATAGGGTTTTTCTATATTTTAATTTAAATGCAAGTTATGCTTTAGTTAAAGACAGGGATAATGCATGCTCTTAATTAAATAACAATGTATAAGTTATAAACTAAATATTTCCTATATCATTTATAAATTGTAATTAGTATTATTCGAGGTATTATTATTTACTTATTTTTTTGGTTAAATTATTCAGTAATATAATAAATTATTATTTATTTTGTTAAAATAGTGCTACAAATTACAATTTACATACCTAAGTAGGTATGATAAAGTTTAAATTATTTATGATATTTATACGATTAAAATATTTAGAGTAGATAATTTAAAGTTTCGGATAGGTGCTCTTTATTTTATTCAGTTTTCAGAATAATAAAAAATCAATACAATATGAAATATTTACCGGAATCTTCATTTTCTCCATACACTCTTTTAAGAATGTCTATCATTTCCTTCTTTCCTACATCATCCGAATCTTGAACATCTAATTCTTCTTGAATGCATTCTTTGTAAAATTGTTCTGTACACTCTAAATGAATCGACGATTTGTAACATGTTAAGGAACAATAAGGAGCTCCACATTTTGGACAAACATATTTGCTTTGATTTCCTGTACAACTTCATAAAATACATATTAATGATATAAATGAATCTCTAATTAAGTAATACAAGGTTACTAGAAGGTTCATCAAATGTTTTTACTTACAACTTACAAAGAGTATCTGTATTCATATTTAATACTTGAAAATATAAACAAGTATTGAATAATATTTTTTTTTAATGGTTGAAGCAATAGTTCAAATACTAATTACTTGTAATCAATACGATAATAACACGATTTATGATGAATTTGTAAACTGTAATACTGACATACTGTATTACTGTATAGGAATTAGGAAAGCACCTATAAAAATAAAAATTGAATAAAATATTAAATAATATAACGTGTTCCGGTTATGTTCTTCGTTTCGTACGATTCTTATCACTTATCAACCGGAAGAATCAAATGCTATCAACATCTTATCTATATACATATACAAAAAGTTGCTCTGCTGTACAGTAGGTTACAAGTGGGTCACTGTATAATGGATGGTATTAAATTTGAATTCAATAATATAATATCAGTATATCACTGTATAAGAAAAACGATTCTGAGAGGAGACGGTATGTCAGTCTAGGTATAAGACATATTATATACATATCTATGGTATTAAAAAAAAAATTGACCTATAATAGATACCTATAATAAATTCCAAATTAATCATATCACAATATCCATTAGGTACTTATAACGCGTTATACATCAATAACAAACCATGATACTATCATAGATAAATAATAGTGTACCTACTTTAGAAGTTTCAACTGTTTCAAGTACCCACGAATAATATTATACAAACACAACAAAATAACTAAAATAGTTATTCTAGGTTTTTTTTTATGTAATTTCATCCAAATTTGAACTTAAAATGACTATAAAAATAAACTGTGATTATGTATTTTTTAGATTTTTTGGTAACAGAATTAACTACTTACGTGGAATCTTGTTTTAAATTTTCAATCCTTAGATATAAAAGTTGAACATTTTATAAAATTTTAACTACAAAATAATTATTCAATTTTCAATTTCTAAAAAAAAAAAAATTCTAAAAACTTAAATTTTTTGTATTTAAAATTCAAAAACACGATTTTTGAACAAAATTTAGATTTGAATTCGTTATTATGTCTACTTGAGATCGGGCAGTCCACTTTTCCCAATTTCATCCCCCCCCCCAACCTCTAAAAATTTAGTTTGAATATTTTGAAATTTCGGAATTTTCAAACGCTAATTATTCTGGATTTATTCGGCATTTAAAGCAGAAATCTTTAAATGCGGACTGACCGATCTCTAAAATAAATTCTAACGAATTCAGATCAGTTTTCAGAAATATTATAGCATTATTAGATCGATTGGTAGATTGTATAACAAAAAAAAAAAAGGAGCGGTAAGCTGTAGTGACGTAACGGTCCGCGATTGATTATAATTTATAATTTATAAATATCTTGAGTATATTGATAATATAACAAAATTATTAATAATATATCACTACACTATTATGCATTTATAATTATTATAATTTATAAATTTTAACAATTTGGTGACTTTAACATAAATTTTAATAATAAGAAATCGGAAACTTAAAACTTTCCTCATGTACACATTCAACTGACATAGGTATGACAAACAATCCAGCAGAATCTACAACGAGAGATGACACCACGACACTATCGATGCAGTATTTTTAAGATATTTGGAAAAAATTACATCACAAACATACCTATCATATTTCAGTTATCACAGGCCTGTAATTTCGATTATTGAATATGATGAATATAATTGTAATTAAATAGTAATAATTTTCATTTTCATTTTCATTTATTTTTCACATTTACTTATTGATATTTACTATTATTTTGAAATTTTGAATGGTTCCACTAAAATGTATTTGTAATCTATAATATTTTGTGGAAAAGAAACTTCGTTTCTACTGGGTTTCCCATGACAGCGCTCACTTTTTAATTTAATTTACTATCGTAAGTGTACATTATTTAAAATCAATTATATCATGTATTTTCAAGATTTTCTATTGCGTATCTCCCGGCTTCGCCCGTGATAAGTTTTTTTTGTGGTAAATCCTATATGGTATATACGCTATATAGGTGTAATGTGTATCCCCAACAAAAACCTAACTGTGAAAAAAGACCAAGTTCCAAACTCCCTCCCAAAAAAGTCGGCCTATCAAAGTAGTGAAATCTACATTGTGGCCAAGTCTGCTATTTTTTAATTCATAACCTCACTAGTCACTGCACTCCTAGATTAAAGAGAAACACTCCTCTTTTATTTGTACTGATTTACACTTGATCAATTTCTTAATGAGGCATAAACTAGACTTGGCCGCAATGTAGATGACAATACTATGATTCGCTGTCTTTTTTGAGAAGAAATCTAAACCTTTTTTTTTCTTCTGAGTTCTCTTCTCCCCATCACCCACGTAAGTCATAAGTGAGTATATTCGATACCTAATGATGTTTTATGCTTCATTCAGAAACTGCCCAAGTGTTAAACAATACAAATAAAGAGGAGTGTTGCTCTTTAATGCAGGAGTGCAGTATTACGATATTGTAACGCTGTTTGAAAGTAAACGTTTATGCGTGCTAAGAGCGCCACTTCATACGTTTAGAAATACACTCTCTGAAGCTGAAATAATTTTGAAAAAAATTCAATTTTCAGATTTTTCCCTTTAGTTAACTGTAAAACCTTACTTTGTGCCAAATTTCAAGTTTCTACCTATGCGGAAAGTGTCTTATAATTTTGATGATCAGTGAGTGAGTCAGTAACAATATTGCAAATTTTGAAATCCTCCCATTTTGAAATGGCACAATATTAAGGGCTGATTTTCTATGATACTCGAGATTAATCTGTGTTTTAAATTTCAAAAGTTTATCTGAAGAGGAAACAGAGGTATATGGGTTAGAAAAACTGGGCGAATCGGTTCGTGTAAAGATACACTGACATTGCTGGAACTTGGCCGGGCGCACTTCCGTGACCTCAGATCTCAGTTTTAGTGTACAATTAAACTGAAAGCAATATAATATTATTACCAAATTATAAGATACCGACAAACATACACTTGCGAGTTGAAACAATGACGTAGCTTAATAGCCTATACACAGTTCCGTGTTATCGTTATTATAAAATAATCGAAAGACTTGAAAGTTGAAATGTATTATAATATTTAAATTGTAATATTCAAACGAATAATACCTATATTAAATACCTATTGGCTATTGTACATTTGAAAAATAAATAAATAATAATATAAGTGGCTTGGTGTGGCGCAGTGCGTACACTCAACTGCGGAAACGCACTGAGTGTACGCGCGTAACGGCCGGCGTTGCTAGTTCCCGGATAGGTGACCACCCGGGATTTTTAGCAACGAATCCTTGCCACACATACAAAAACGTGTTTTCAACCGTTCCTCTCCCTACTAACAACCTACAAACAAACAAACAAAACCAACAGCTAATAGCCAAAGTTGCCGGGCTCAAGCTCAATAAAAAAAAAAAAAATTATAATAATATGTACACATCTCATATGGTAACAAGGCAGATTCATTAACTAAGATTTTTACTGTAGGAACTATTTATGAAAAACCTTGTTTAAAATGTTCAATCATTAGCTATCTATATAAATTAATCATTTTATAATTGTTCAACCTACAAAATAATATGCAATTTTTGGTGATTTTATGGAATTTTGTCAACATTTGAACTTAAAAACCAAAATTGTCCTTGTGTATCTTTAATATTTTTGAACTGCTGTTATAACAATTTACGAGGAACCTTGTATTAAATTAACAAGCTTTTTACCCCAGAAAAAAATTTTTTGTCGATATTTATATAGAAAAGAAATTTAAAATTTCAATTGACTATTTGACTATAAATAACTCAAAAAGATTCAAAATATTTTAGAAGTATTATGTTTGTAATACAAATATACCTATATGATATATAGATTGTCAGATCAAAATTTACTAATATAGGAAAATGGCATGCGTAACAAAAACTACATTATAATTAAGCTTAACATTTTACAATAATAGTAATGGTTTTTTTAAAAAAAAAAATTTTGTGCGTCCTCAAATTTGAGCATAAATTCACACTAATATTTTATGAGTCAAAATCACGAAATTTTGCAAATTATTTTAAGTTAGAAATTCATAATAATTGTCTTTTATATCCAAGATTTTAAAATTGAATTCAAGATTCCTAAAAAATTTTCTACCTTTAACCAAAAAAAAAATGCCTACTGGAAAGGCAAGTTAATTATTTATGAGTGTTTGAAGTTCAAATTTTTACAAATTGTACCAGCTGTATTCACTCGATTTCTCTTTAAACGATTTCCTTAATTATTGTTGTCCAAAAATGATTAACTGTAGGTACCTATACCTGAAATTTACACAAAATGTTTATTTTATCAGTTTCTATACCTACCTTATAATTTGACTAGGTTTTAGCTGTTTAGTGTTTACGGATTTTTTTTTATTATTATACTGTTCAACTCGCTTCAACCACAAATACGTTGTTAGCATATAAAAGTATATATAATTTTTTTTAATTACAATTTCTATTTCTTTAATTAATTAATTTAGTTCTAAATATTATTTTAATATATTATTGTGTACACAAGAAGTGTTATCGTCATCATCGACACAAATACACAATTTACAGCTTGTGCGGATTCGACAATCAGACTCTTGTGGATCGATGAGCGAGTAGGCGCAGTATAGCTACTTACTTTTACGTAAACACAATGTGAGGTACATAGAACTAATTAGAACAATAGTTATAATTATTATTATTTTAGATTCTGAGCCGAGCGATGAATGTATAAATGTATTGATTTTAAAATGATGTATGAGTGTTTTTTAATTCGTTTTTCTGTCTGTTCTCACATTTTGGAGCAGAAAAAATTTCACCACATTGGTAAGTATATTAATATACATTCATGTGGCCAAAACCTTCAATATAGGTACTATTTTGTTGAAATTTTGTACCTACGTAACAAAAACATTTTTCGTTAATGTTCTTTATGGGTCCCTTGGGCCTCACACTCCCTGCACGAGACATAATCATGTTCAATGGGGCCATTTTTATGTTGAAATAAAAAAAAAGTAGGTACCTACTCTTTAATGCTAAAAACGGACCTCAACGCTCCGCTGTCCAGATACTCTACGCGGTTTTCGCCCAATTAAATAATATAATAACAAGACGTGATATATTTTAACTTCATTATTTTCTGTTTTATGTATCTAATGGAAAAATACATTCATTAACTGATTAACTTATTATCTTCTTTAGCAATGTCGTAGCGATTCAAATGTCTACGTCTGTTCACTGTTGTTGTCTAATGATTTCTTATTTTTTCAATAATATTTAGCTTGTATTGCTTTGTAAGTAGGTACGCTATTTGTTATTTTTGTAATTTGCTTCATATCGAATTACAGACATTGAATTTGCATTTAAAATAATATTTTTAATTTTTCGTAAGAATTAACTTTTAAAATTAAAATTATTTTCAACTTCACTCATTTTTTATTGTGTTATATTCCTAATAAACGTTGAAATTCTGCAGCGTATAGTCCGGATTAAAGTCTGTTGAAGTTATACTTCTGAAAAACGTAGTAGGTCAGTACATTACAATCTCGGGTTTGGCAATTTGTAATATTTGTAAGCTATACTGCTATAGTATTATTTGTAGGTATATAGTTTTTAGTGTACCTAATCGAGGTACATGACCCATGGCTGTTGTACGTTCTTTAATTGAATATTATTAATATGTATAAATATTTTAATTTTATACTACAAACTTATATTTTTATACTAATAACATATTCCATTCATCAATATAAACTATTGTTATTTGTCAATTATTTATTTTAAAAAAAAAATGCAGATAGGTACATAGGTAATCGTAATATTATGAAATATTGAAATTATAATTGGATAATAATATTAAGATCATCGACCATGTGGCAATTTTATATTGATTTAATTCATATAGTGTAAAACGTTGATAACCATTGTCGATCAGTAGGTAGTCACTTATCTAAACTACATACACTGCCAAGATATTTGGTGAGAATTCGTACGAGTGTCTATGAGTGACCCACGTTTGGCTCGAATTATATTAAAACGAAACGTGAAACGTTTATACCTCAGCTGCTGTGGGGCTGATGCGTAAAGACTTGGAAGTCAACTATTAAAAAACTATTAAACAACCAATGAACATGAATCAATTAAAAAAAATATTGGAAACATTCCGAAATATGTTTCCTTTCATTAATCTATAATTTGTTTAATATGTAAATATTAATAATTAAACTGTAAATTAGATAGGTACAAATTATTAATATTTTAATATTAACACAAAAATGAATATTTTATTATATGTTTATAGTAGATAATTTTTAAACTATATGTTAGATTTAGCATAATATATAATGTATTATTGTCTATTTAGTTTGATTATAAGGTATGAAATAAATAATATAAGTTATATTATTTACATTTTACCTATAAGATAACATTTTTGTTTTTAATGAAATAATAGAATATAACAGTAATAGATATGGTTAATATTTTAACAGTCTAGGTATAATAATGTATGTGGAAATATTAATGATAAATATAGTTTAATATACCTATAACCTGTAGGAAAAAATTTGTTGTATTAGTATGACCTATACTTTTTTTTAGATAGATACTACCAACTATTATAGTTTAAACTTACTATATATACATATTATATAAATATAATGATCGTATTATTCAATTACTCGTATACGCGTATAAATTAATATCAATGTTGTATAATATTGGTATACCTATGTATATTGAAAGTAGTACCTATACCTATATCAGCTATATCATATAATATAATATATAATATTATATACATAAACATATTTTATTCTTGTGTGACGTCATACTTTAAACCGGTATACCTGATAAAAGATTATAGAATGTGAAACATATTTGGGCTTGTCCAATCAAAAGTGTTTGTTTGTATAATAGGTATAGTAGGAACATATTATATCGTGTACAGATTATTCATCGACTGAAGTACTGAACACAACTATACACTATACAGTTTATTTACGTCGGACGTGTTAGACCTTAGACGTAGGTGTATTAACGTAATTTTTATAGATTTATTTTTTAATATTGTTTAATTACAATTTAATCAATTTAATTATTTTCCATTAAACCATCATGAGATCAATAATATTTAGAAGTCAATTAAAGGTATGTATATATTGCACTGTTGCATAATATATAATATGTGACTTACATAAATATTGAATAATTAATGTACACAATATTTAAATGATGGAATTAAAAACCATTTAAACCTAAAATATATTTATTCTAGATTAGCAATTATTTATAAGATATAGTTTTTTACAAAAATAATGTAAAATGCAAGTGATAAATAATTGTTATTAATGTTTAGTACGTAATTTATTTATGTAAGCAAAATTAAATCATTAATTACAAAAATGTCTATATAATAATAAATAAAATAAATAAATAAATAATGGTACTTAGATTATTAATATTGAAAGTAGAATAATTCTTATTGATGGTATTTTGTACGTCATTCTTATACTAATGTATTGTACCTAGTTTCTTCATAATAATAATATGACGTATGGCTCTGTTATTATATTAGGTACCTATACTGCTATAACTAATAATCATTGTTGTCTGTTGTCGCATATATTCTCTAGTTTCGACACTATGCAGTCATCTGAATGTCTTCAAAAAATATCAGAAAATTTAATAAATATAAATGTAAAAATACATAATTACAATAATTATTATTTAAGTTTTGAAATTTTGAATAGATGGTAGGTATGTAGGACCAGGACGTAGTACCTAGTACAATAGTATTATGTATTTACTGCAGACACAGCTGTGTGCCTGTGTACATAATATATATATACTAATAGTATACAGTCATTCTATATACAGCTTAAGGCCAGACCCGTTATTGAGCCACTGGGATAAAAGCAAGTTATGGCTTTATAGGGCTGGATACGTTTTTTTTAAAGAAATTGAACCGACAAAATACCTATAACCTATAACCTTGCTTTAGGGCGGAGAATATCCAACGACGGGCCTGCGTAAAGCTTATGTATATTTGGTCACGAAATTTTAGGCACAAAATAGCAAGGCTGGGCAAGTTAACGATTTTTTTTAACTCGTTAAGTTAAGTTATTTTAAAATAATAAAGTTAAGTTAAATTAAAAGTTAATCATATTTTTTACGTTAACTCGTTAAGTTAAAAGTTAACTTTGAAAAAAAAGTAACTTAACTTAGTTTAAAGTTAAAATTTTCTATTTTGCAAAAATAAAAAATTGCACACATAATATTAGTTTTTTTACACTCAAGAAAAATACTAGGGAAATTTTTTAAATGAGACATAAAAGTATTAATTAGCTATCAAAAAACCGACTTTTCCAAAATAAATCTTAGTCCTGAACTCATACTCAAATCAATTTACCCAAGTGGTACATCAAAAAAAAAAAAAAAAACACCTTAATAGTTTTCTCCCAACTGCCAAGATACCAATATTTTTAATTGATTCACATAAATTTTAAAAATCAAACAGGCAGTACCTACCACCCAAATATATTTTCTATACTGAGGACACAATGCAGCCACCGTGTAGTTTTAAAACCTAGGCTCAGCACAACATGAACAATTATTATCAGTAAAAATATAATTACTTTGTACTATATTATTACGTTCACGACAACATTCGACATCCACTTCAGGGAACCCATTTAAACGATAATCTGTATAACCTATCTTTGAAAATATTATTAATACAATTTATAATGATAAACGTGTAGGTAGATATTAATATATTATACAGCCCATATAATGACTATTAAAGTTATTTTTCATATTATTTTCGTCTACAGGAAATTCATATTAAAATAGTGAATCATAAAATCATAAAATAAACTAAAAACCTCATTAATAATTTGCATTTTTCTTTGCACTAAAATTAACTTAATTTAGATAATTTTAAATAAAATTAACTTAAAGTTAACACGTTAATCTTAAAAAAAAAGTAACTTATTAAGTTAAAAGTTAATTTGTAAAAAAAGTAACGAGTTAATTAACTTAATTAAAATTAACTTAACGTTTTAACTTAATTTTAACTTTTAACTCGTTAATGCCCAGCCTTGCAAAATAGTAAATACTAAGTTATAATAGTATACTCAGACATTACATCAATAAAATAAATATACAAACATTATTCTACCATCTGCCATGGCAAACAAGACTGAAAAAAGTTAGGTTAGAATAATCTGTAATGTTCGTAAATAATATTATACCTACGTCCTACGTGTGATAAAAAAAAGTTACCTATTAAGAGATTATACATTTATACCTAATTTATTAGCGAACTACTGACTAATTCGTTCAATTAAAATTACTTTATATAATATTTATACGTCAAACACTACACAATATATAAATTATAATTAGATAGGTAATATAATTATAAATAGTTGCATATAAAAATGTATCACGTGGGCTATCATTTTAATACTTTGCGAATACAAGAATATAAAATTAATTAATCTACGCATAAATTGTAGGTACCTACCTATAAATAACTTTAAAAAATCGTAGCTAACACTTTTTATCCACGTTTAAAGGAAAAACTAAAAAAATTTTAAATATAAAATGTCTATAAATAGCTTAAAAAGAGTCAAAAAATTTTGAAAGTGCTTTAAAGTATAGAAAAAAATAAAATAACCATTTGATTAATATTCCAAGTATTGACGGTTATTCGTTTTGAATAATTACAACAAAATAAGAAAATCGTTGATTTACGGATGAGTAAAAAAATTACTTTCCGGCAAACTTTAAGTTAAAATATCTTATGAACTATGAAGAATCTTGTATTCAATTTTCAAATCTAAAATATAAAAAGAATTTTTTTACAAATTTCTAACTAAAAAGATATGCAAATTATTATGATTTTGAGTTAGAAATTGTGATTTTTTTTGTCTTTTTAAAAATCCTAACTAGATCCAATTTCAAATCGGTGCATTTTCACTGTCCGTGAAGTATAATAAACCGAAAAAGAAACCACAAATAATTATAAAATCAGTACATTCATCACGCCCCAAAATCACAACTATTGCTGACAATTAGAAATAATTTAAAACTTATCTTATAGAGTTAAATCTATACTTTAATATGATAAAGCTGAAGAGTTTATTTGTTTGAAGGCGCTAATCTCAGGAACTACTGGTTCGAATTAAAAAATTTTGTGTTGTACATTCATTGAGGAAGGCTGTGGCGCTATATAACATAACGCTAAGTCCAATAAGAACCCAGGGAGGTGCTCAAATATGAATTTTGAGAATTACTATGGAAATGTTTATTTATAAATCATAAATGGTTGCTATTGGTTATAGGATAAATAATTAGTAGAAATAGTATTTATTTATTGTTGGTTGCCATTGGTTAATCGGGCAGATGCCAGATCAGGTACAATAAGTACCTATATGCACACAACTACACCATATGGGGCATGCATACTGATACTTTTACAATGGGTTACAATTAATTATTATTGTTATCTGAACAAAAATGCATATAATATTTACTTTTTACTTTTTAGGCAGGTTTGTTTGTCAATGGATTTAACAATTTTACCAGTTGTAGTAATAACTATAAATTGAGAAGAAATCATACAAATGCTCCGAGTCCGTTATCTATTTTGAGCGAAGATGAACAGTTTTTTAAGGAAACGGGTATGTTATTACTTTAACATATTTTGTAGTTAGTACTCACTACTCACACAACTAAGTTACTACATATTAATATCGGAAATAGTGAAATACCTACATATTATATAGGTTATAGCTAAATACAATTAATATACATAAGAATTTTAGATTAGATATTATATTTACAATTAAAAATATCTAAATATGTTTACATAAATTATAATATAGTATAATAGTATAATACTTATGTCATATTATTTGTTATATTAGTCTATTTACCTAATACGAATAGTTATAAATATATATATTTTATTTAATTATTAGAATTCAACAGAATCAAATTTACGTATACAAACACTAAGTATATATACCTAAACTGCTTTTATTTGATTACAGTTAGGAAATTTTCTCAAGATCAAATTGCACCATTAATAAAGAAAATGGATAAAGAACATAAAATTGACGATGAACTAGTGAAAAAATTATTTGAAAATGGCGTAAATATATTCTACCTATATAGTATTCATCTAAATATCTACTGATCATAATAATGAAACACCTAGTTAATATTCTTGTATTATAATAATTATACTTAATTACCTACCTAATTTGTTCGTAAAATGTTACAGTTTATGGGTATTGAAGTAGATGCAGAATATGGTGGATCTGGATCGTCATTTATGTCTAGCACTTTAACAGTGGAAGAAATAGCCAAAGTTGATCCCTCAGTTTCAGTATTAGTTGATTTACAGAATACTCTAGGAAATAATGTTATGTCAAAAACTGGTAATAAAGAACAAAAAGAAAAGTATTTACCTCGGTTAGCACAAGACACCGTGAGTATATAGTGTAATTTTAATTTTAGTAGGGTTAACTGAAATAAATTACGAAATAAAAAGATACCTAGGTACCTAATCAGTAGGTAATCACAAACTTATAGGTACGAGTTACCTAGCTAGTAGCTATAGATAATAGGCTACAAGTAGCACTATATATTTTAGTAGGTACCTACTTAGTACTTATAGGTAATATATAGGTGCTATATCATAATTCATAAGCCATAACAAAACTTCATTTAATACATATTTTCCTATTCCATTATGATTATACACTACCTGTCTATATTTATCAAGTTTGATTAATGCATATTTGATATTACCTTGAAGGGGTGGTGTGTGAAGATACCCTTCCTGCAGACTAAATTTGTTTGCTCCAAATGTAGTATGAATATTGCAAATATCAGGAAATTTTAAACCTTAAATCAGTTAAATCATGATATTAATATCAATTATCTTTAAAATTAAAGAAATAATTTATAATTGACGAACAATTCTGCCCCCCCCCATCTTGCTAGGTCTGTGCATGATTAATGCCTATATGTAACCTATTGTACATGAATCTTTACTAAATACCTGTTTTGGATTTATTCATTATAGACTAAATTCATAGTCAATATAAATTATAATACACATTAAATTTAATGCAGTAGGTAGAGGTAGGTAGGCACATAAAGTAATAACTATCTTTGAAAGTACCTACTAATGTCTCAGCCCAATATTATACAGAGTGATTATAGATCACACTTTCATAGACATAATATGATATAATATAATTCATATTAAGTAGAAGTACTTATGTCTATACTTTGATCAAGGCCACAAAAACAGTAAAAAAAGATCATTTTTATTATGGTAATAGGTAATTCTTTAAATCGAATATTCTAATTGGCAATTATTATAATATTTGTAATATAGGAAAAGTGTACAATTAGTTGGTAGGTAAATACTACAGCACTACACCATCAGTTGATTATTAATTTTACTAATGAATACCATTATAATTTATAGTGATTGTATATAGGTATATTGACCTCAAGCTGATTATTAACTGTTATTATAATGATTTTTGACCTACTGTTATCAAAAAATGTATTAGTAGGTACCTGAGATTAAGTCATTTCTTAGTTAACCGTACTTATTACCTTACTACCTTGTGATTACCGTTCATACTCCACATGTCTACAGGTCTCAGAATAAAAGACTTAAAAATAAAAATGTTAAATACATATTATATTTTATTAACTCTTCATCAGCTCGCAGTCTTCCTGCCCTGTGTCTGGAGACTGCAGCTGCTGTCTAGACAGTGTGCTACCTATCAATATAATAAGCAAGGTATAGTACATCCGACATGGTAGAATGTAGACCTTATAAGTTATAATGTATAAATACCCTCAAACAGTTTTATTATTTTTTCATATCCTCTGATATTAAGTAACAAATATTAATAAATGGAAAAAATATTGCTTTGAGAGTGGTACATAAGAAAAACTACGATCATAATAGATAGATAGGTACCTAATGTGCTGGTATTGACATAGGTACCTATTGGGTATTCAAATATAGGTACTTTTATGAAAAGGAAACATATTTTTTACATGCCTATACTGCCCAGTCCCTATACTGACTAGACAGTGACTACTCTAGGCAATGGCGGATAGAGGAATTTCTTTTTCTTTTTTTTTTCGGGAGGGGGGTGGTGGTTGTTAAACCTATTTACCTATATATTATAATACGAATCTAGGTTAAATATCTAAGAACAAAATATCCAATCTAAAAAATTTAGAAAAGTTTTTATCAATAAAATTATAAAATGTTAAAATGTAAAAAAATACAATTACTTAAGTAGATTAGTAGATGATACGGAATTTTTAATAAAAATGAGCTAAAATATTTTCTAATAAAATTAGCTAGAATAACATATAGGTAAAGTTGCAAGCATAGAAAAATATTTTTTAGAAAATAAAAAGATAAACTTACACAGATTTTGTGAGGGTGATGACTTGGAAGTTTTAACCATTTAACTACCTACTGTAAGTAGTCTATGACACATTCATTACAGATAATTTAATTCCGTAAAAAATCATGCAGTTGCGCACACCTCCAAGGAATAGATTGAGCCAAAAAAAAACAAAGTTCTTAAGTATATTGTGGTAAAAATAATTTCCAAATCACCCGAGGTTTTGGGTGACTACAATTATTTTTTTTAATGTGTTATAAACCATATTTTATTGTATTTTTAATTTATTGAAAAATAATATAGCATTTTTTTTTGAAACTATTTATTTTCAAGTATACTTTTTTTATTAGTTACGGTCTTTGCTCATGGTTAAGAAAAAATTAATTTCAAAGTTTCAGATGAAAAAAATGGGTACCGGTCGACTGCCGCTAATACTCATAGTAGTTTGGAATTTTACAAGCCACCAGCTACTTTTGGACGGAAATTAAAAACAACCCTCAAAAATCCAAATAATATTATTTCCAAATTCTACTTCACGATATACACCAACAACTCAGTATGGAGTCACTAAAAATTAATAATACTTAGAATTTTCCCTCTCAACTATGACTTCTGAAGTTCTTAATTTACGAGTTGTAAATTTAGAATTTTTTATTAGATTGTATTACATGACTTGAGAAGAGATAACAAAACTTTTTTTAAATTCAATATTTTGAACGTTGGATATTTATTGACTGATTACTATCTAATATACTCTCTTATCTTCTCTACATCGTGCCAAAAATACATTAGTTTTGCAGAAACGAGTTTATATTATAGGTTCTATAATATGGAACAGCGGTTCTTAACCTGTGGTCCGGGGCCACTTGGGGGTCCGCGGCAGCCCCAACACATAACATACATCAAAAAGTGACAGAGTGCATTATTACAATATTATTGGATTAATATTATTTTTTTCATATATAATATGTAGATTCTACACCAAATAATTGTATTATTAGTATTTATTAAGTAGGTAATCAGTTTTTCTTGTTCATACGAAATGTACATGCGTACAGCGTAGTCTCGGCAGTCTTATATTTAGGTAAGTACTACCTTTATAATTGCAGTTGATCGATTTTTATAAAAAATTAATTGTAATAAAAATAATTGGAAATGTGTAGGTATGTTTTGTTGTCTACTAATGTAATTTTTAATATAAAATAATTATTATAATTTTAGTTATCATAACATGAGATGTTTTGTAAAAAAATTGGTAAGGGGGTCCGCGATTTCTAAAAAATCTTTCATCAGCGGTCCGCGTTCTACAAAAGGTTAAGAACCGCTGATATAGAATACCTATAGATCATAAATGGACAAAGTAATGGATTAACTATATATAGGTACGTCTGGCGGGGTATCTCACTACACCTCCTGAATCCTACTCCTTAAGATTTATAAACTCATTTACGGCATTACCACTATGGCTGTACCACTGACCAATCCTCTGAAGTCTCAAATAAATACTAAATTATTTATGACTATAATTAGGTAACAAGTACTAGTTCGAATTAGTATTATAGAAATACAAATACTTCAAAAATTAGTCGGTTTCTTGTTTATTGAAAATAAAAATAGATGTTGCGTCATTTAAAAATGTAATTTTTTTAAAAAATTCCCACTAACAGTTTTGTTTGTTTGTCTTAATATTATGTAAAAAATTTATTTTGTAACAGTTTTAGAAAAAACGAGTCTTACACCCTTACGTTCAGTATATTATATGATCAGTGGATCACAAACCAGTGCAGTCTGTAGGGAGTATGGACATTCAAATTATTATAATTTATCGACTTATATTTGTCATTAATGGATAACATTTAATAGTAAAATAAATGAGTAAATATATTTAAAAAAAATTGTTTTTAGGTTAGCAGTTTTTGTTTATCTGAGCCTTCGTCAGGATCAGATGCGTTTGCTTTAAAAACCACAGCAAAAAAAGATGGAGACCACTACTATATAAATGGAACAAAGATGTGGATCTCAAATTCTGATATAGCAGGAATTTTTTATGTTTTTGCCAATACTGATCCTTTGAAGGTGAAAATGTATACTTTAAAGTTAATAATAATATATCTATATAATCATTATAAGCAGTGGTGTGCCGAACTGACAAGCAGACCTGAGGCAAACTATACAATTTGACCCCCCTCCCCACCACCAACAGTTTTTTCACTATTTTTTTTTTATTATTCAAAATAATAAATATTATTAAGTGTTTTTAGGTATAAGTGGCACATCTATACTAAAACACCCACCCACCTACCCAAATTTTACCCGAGGCAATTGCCTCAAAAAATTACTATTCAGCACGCCTCTGATTATAAGTATGTAATCTATAAAGATTGGTAAGTACTTCAACGTACCAACTATTTGAACTATTATAGCGTATTACATATTTACCTATGTAACTTTTATTTTAGAAAGTAAATTTTGAATTCCAATTGGGAAGTTTAATAGAATATTCTGAAATTGAAATAACTATATATTAATATTATTATAGGGCCATAAAGGTGTTACATGCTTTATTGTAGAACGAGAACAAGAAGGATTTTCAGTTGCTAAGAAAGAAGATAAGCTAGGCATGAGGGCTTCTGGCACATGTGTTCTTCATTTCGATAATGTCAAAGTATAAAAATACAGTTATATACAATTACCACCAGGCATCAAATTTACATGATTAGTTTATCAACTAAATTTATGTTTATGTAGGTACATAAAGATAATATTGTTGGCAAAATTGGTGAAGGATATAAAATAGCAATAACTTTCCTGAATGAAGGAAGGATAGGAATTGGAGCACAAATGGTGGGTATAGCACAAGGGTGTTTGGACCACACAATACCATATACATTGGAAAGAAAACAATTTGGCTCTAGTATTTTTGACTTCCAAGTAAGTTTAAATACATTTAATTGATTTTAAATTACATTATATATTTATCATATAATACAAACTGTTACTTATAGTCTATGCAACATCAAATTGCTCGAGCAGTGACTGAAGTTGAAACAGCTAGGCTATTAGTGTATAATACCGCAAGACTAGTAGATGCTGGTTTACCATTTATTAAAGAAGCAGCAATGGCTAAATATTACGCTTCAGGTAAAATTTCAAAGAAAAAATACTACTGTTATTTATGTGACTTACTAATTGTCAGAAATAATCAATGTGGAAACTATCGAACTAAATCATTTAACATTTAAAAATCAATTTTCATATTCTTATGTTAATGTTGTACATTTGTAGAAGTTGCCGGTAAAGTTACATCTGTATGCATTGACTGGATGGGCGGACTCGGTTTCACTACAGATTATCCCCAGGAAAAATTTTATAGAGATTGTAAGGTTGGGCCAATATATGAAGGAACAACAAATATGCAGCTAAGCACTATTGCCAAGTTCATTAAAAAGGAATATGAACAATAATCAATTTTTACATACTTTATGAATTATTTTTTAAGCAAATGTAAAATAAAATGTTGTAACTGAAATACATTAAATAATAATATGTTCAATTTAATATTTAAGAGGCTTGAGTTATAAAGTATAGAATGTAACTGTTCACAAAAGTCAAAAAGATTAATACAGGAAAATTTAAATAAATATATTAAACATTGTGAATTCTAGATTCGTTGTACCACTTATAAGATAAAAGTTTGGCATTATTTTTTTAATTTAAAAACAATTATACTCATAAGTATATTTTTTCAAATTTGTATTAACATTTATCTGATTAAATAAAATTACTTAAGAGGATGTCAGCACATAGTTTGTTTTCTCTCGCTGACCTATATGGGCAACATGGCAAATTTACGTTCAGCCGAACGTATAAATTATTTCAATTTAAAAATGCTTATAGGTTGCATAAAAATTAAAATATAAGAAAAATCAACATAACGAGAAAGGTTAGAAACTTCAAGTTTGATAATAGGTGAATTCAGTCTTATATTATATCTCTATAAATCAACAGTTCCATAAAAAAAAAAAAGTTAATTATACCTATGGAAATTTACATTTAGTGTGTATTTATATGATATTTATTAATTATTTTAATTTGTATTCAATACTTTTTATTAAAAACTTAAACAATTTTTTTTATGATATGAAATGTTGAAGAGCTCTGTCATCTACTCACTGAAAATTAGTATTGAAGTTGAATTTGTAAAAAGTCATAAAACTGGTATAAAATCAGAAGAAATAAAATGTGAGTCAGAATCAAGTTTATAGTTAGTACCAATATTAGAAAAATATGTAAACAAAAAATTATAATTTATTAATAAACCATAAAATACAGCCATATTGTTGTTTTAAGTTTAATCATAGTATTATATATTAAGATTGGAAAGACATACACTCAAATTTTGTTATAAATTCTAGCTCATCATTATCATATAATGGTTCTTTACCTCGTTCCCAAAAAATATCTTCAAGTTCTTTTAATTTTTCATTAGGAAATATATGAAGTGCCATATCGTTGAATACATCATCATAAATAAAATCATCACAACATTTTTTTTCTATGACGTGAGGAGATATTTTTTGTACATAGTAAGCATACTTATTTAAAATCCGGTCTAAAGTTGAAGTTACTGTTTGATCAATGCTATTACAAACAATTATACAACTCGTAAGTATCTCCTTATTCCAATTTGCCCATAATAAATTATTTAGCAGCTGTTTCGGACAATGAGGCATATACACAAATGTACCGGGTAACAAACTCCGTTTTCCTTCTTCATTTTCGCAGAGTGAATCACATCCAATCTCAGCTAAATGGGAACGTTCAGCGTCCGTGAATTTGGGATCATAAACATAACAGTTCTTCACTTTAAATTCATTTTTAATTGTTAATAGCAAACCTAGCTGGTATTTAGATTGTATGCTCTCAAAAAAATTTCCTAATCCATAGCACAGGATTGATGATGGATTGGATCCATTTAATTCCATTTTAATAGTTGCTGAAAAGTGTATCCAAAACGGAGAAGTGGCAACAATATTTGTACATTCTTCTATGCTCCTAAAATTAAAAAACTAATTTACTAGGTATTAAACAATGTATAGGCACAATAAATTTAAAATAATATCATCATTCATAATTTATGAATGGTAATATAGACATTCTATGGCCAGGCCGACACTGTTAAATTCAATAGATTTAGAAGTACTTACTTTTTATATTTTTGAGATCTTGTAGAAAAGAGTTTTCGATTTTTTTTTGACATAATATTTTTTCTATATTTACTATATAGTTAAAATGTTAAAATATAATGTTACATCTTACTTCATTCTTTTGGTCTTAAATTTTAAATTCCAAATACATGTCACAAAATTGCTGAATGCATATGAATTATGAAGATTGTTCCCGTACATTTTCCACTCACTTATCACTTCTGATAAGGCAGGTTATAACTGCAACACTGCATATTCTATTGCCTATGTCCATATCTCTGAAGGAGATGGGCCAAGTTGTTGTGTTCGCGCTGTACCACAGAACAATAGCTGTACATATCAAAAGATGGATGGGTGACCCAGTGACGCCAGTGTTGGGTAGTAACGTAACGCAAAGAACAAATTACTGTAACAAAATTACTTTTGCTGTAACGCAGATTTCATTATATTTTATTTAAATCAACGCAAATTTAAAGAAATTAGTTTTTAAAGTATAATATTAATGTACCTACTATAGTCTATAATAGGTAGGTCGTAGGTACTTATTATTCGTTGTGGACGGATTTTTTAATTATTTAAAAAAAAATTTAACGTTATTTGTCACCCCCTACTTTTTTAATGAAAAAGTAAAGTAGGTAACGTGATAAAAATAATTTCGGGTAACGCGAATGTAATTTAAATAAAAATATTTAATGTAACAAATAACGTAATTTTGTTACTTTTCAAAAGTAATTTACCCAACACTGTCACTGACTAAGTTATATTTTTGAAATATAATCATAGACTTTAATCGATTGGTAAAATCAAAACATACTTTTAAAGTTTTTATACGTAAACCTCGAAAATAATAATTTTAAAAATGAATCCAAGATTTGTTTGAATAACTGCAATAACACTACATCACTGGTGCAGTGGTGCCTGCTAAAATATTGGCTAAATATTTTAATATTTTCAGGAAAATGGAATCTAATCTTTTTTTGTGGAAGGAAATGGACAGTGGATGGAAATTATATTTTAGATTTTAAGCCTTAAAGGAAAATTGACCCGTCCCTCAGCCCTCGCAATATTGCCAGTTAAAGTATAACACAATAGTGCCAGTTTCCTATGTCTCATGGATCTGGTTGAAAAACTCTCGTGCCATTACCAGTTAAATTAATCAAAAATAAATTGCAAATTTCCGTAACTGACGAATTTCGTCAAAATTTGAACTTTAAATGCATATAAAAAATAATTAAAGCTGTGTATCTTTAATATTTTTGAACTGCTGTTAAAACATTTTATTATTTTTTCAAGCACTTTAGTACATTATTAAAATATATTTAACAAATTGTATGACAGAAAAAAACACATACCATTGTAAATACAATGCTTACAATCATCGCTAGTCGGTACCCTCAGAATCTAAAATCAAAAATATCGCTATAGGTTTCTAAATAATAATTTTTTTTTTTTTATCATATTTGTTTTTATTTGTACAATCTGTATAAAAATATAATTACAATAAGCACAATGGAGGGGAAATAAAATTATAGGGCATTGGTCATGGTTGGCTTGAAGAAGAAGCTATTCATTAATAGCACTTCGTAAAATAATAATTAATAATTTATTTATTGAATAATTGAATACCTAACTTATTTGATTATAACTGATATAATATAATTCATATCTGATAGCCGATAGGATAATTTCAATTATAGTAATAATTATTTTGTATTCATCTTGAATCTTGAATTAATATATCTGAAAAAAAAGATATATATATATATATTAAAACACTTTTTGCGATATGCATAGGCAATATAATATACAGTATTGCGGTTACCGCCACTGAACTAAAATAAACTAAATTTAGTTCAGTGATTACCGCCTTATTAGAAGTGATAAGTGGACGTTGTATCCGCTTAGATCATATATAATATCAAACTTTATTAATTATTTTGTATATTGTATGGTTGTTTCTAGATTATTATGTATTATATCTATGTAAAGGGCTTGTCCCGAAAAATGTATAAATAAAAATAAAAAAATAATATATATATATTGTTTATGATCTAAGCGGATCCGCATGTGTTGTTCTCCGTCTTACAAATGCATAATATACTCATATACCAAATTGTGGTGTACGTCCTTTTTCAGCAGTTCCAATTTTGTGTTAGAGTGAAGAGTGAATTACGATTTAACTATTAAAGAAATATATTAAAAGTAAAATATTAATATTTGAAAATGCTCATAATTAACTTAAAATCAAAATATCGTAAAAAAACAACTAAATAATTTAGAACACAGATAATGTTCTTACAATCTTACATTTAAGTAATTAAGTTTGATAAGTTATTAGTTAATTAAAGCTATTAAACTAATATAATATGTAAGGTAACATTGTAACAATACCTACAGAATTGGAACTGCTGGACGACGTTCATTTTAATATATTATGCTGCGTTATTAAACCGGAGACAACATAATATATGTGCCACATATATTATGTGGGTACGACGTCCTCAAAGTATCAAGAGTTGTACGATAGGTATAGGTAGCTCCACACTTCTAAGTTATAGCCACAACAACTAATAAGCCATCTGTGCTTAAATCAATGGCGCACTCAGGATTATTTTTCCTGTTTAACCGACAGCAGAAGAGGTTCTCAGGAGGAGGGGCTAAATTAAATTATTTTTTAATAGTAATAGTATCTATTTTTATCTATGTACACCATTCCGAAAATTTGAGGTCCTGCTCTGCACGGTCGCATGCAGCGGGCAGCGGCCGTTTAATATGTTCATCAAGGTCCGGAGTAACCACACAAGTTTAGTTAACCTCAATGATATTTTATCCTCCTCCCCCATCCAGATCTTTTAGTCTACAACTATTAAACCTCATCAAAATATAATTTCTCTAAATTGTAGTAAAATTCAACTCGGTCATAAATCATAATACGCGGTCCCGTTCCACCAGCCCACAGGCCGCGGCACTCCGCAGCAGCAAGCACAGATGTCGCTGCGACCTGTTTGACATTGACTTCAACGATTAATTACCTATCTCTTTCGCTTTCTCAATGATTCTTCCTCCCACTCACGTGGTTAACCGAAATTTTCAGAAACTTCGAATAGTAGGAGTGGATTCTGGACAATTCCCATGGACGATCGACGGAACACGCAGTAGTCGTCGCGACGTCATGCGTCAGATGACACTGATGACAGTCAACAGACCTGTGGCATTCTGTGTTCAGATGTCAGTACTCAGTATAATGTCACTCCGGTCTGCGTATTTCTGAACCCTAACTGAGCTGGGGCACTAGTGACCGAATCCGGTTAGACTCCGTCAGTGGCGTACACACGGGGGGTTTGGGTGTTCAACCCCCCCCCCCCCTTTAGTATTTTTTCAGTTTACGCAATAACGTAAAAATGTATAATAAAAATGATGACAATTTAAAAAAAATATTATATTCCAAATTATACTCCATTATATTATAACTTATAAGCAACCCAGTTTGTTGTTATAATATATTGTAGATATTATTGATAACTTGTTACAAATTAATGAAATTATTGGGAAATTTGTTCAAACACAAACATGAGGGTCGACAATCGTGTAATCCGATATAATATGCCTTAATAGCTATCGCAGTATCGCTAATACTATAGTATAGAATCTATTTCTCAGTTTTCAATCAAATTCCTGACGCTTTGGACGTTTAGTAAATTGTACTTACTGTTTAAATATTTTATAAAACAATAAAAATGAAAAGAATAAACGAATATTTTTCTAACTCACTAATTTGTGATACAATTAACTCGGAGGAACCAGGTAAATATTTAATACATTATATTATCAACCTAGGACCTAGGTACAAAAAAATGATTAATATGGTAAAAATAAATTTCTCTTTATACCTATCTTTTATTGAATTGTATATAATATATTATTATATACATATTGTATGTACGCGTGTAACTTTGTAGTTATACTAAATAATTACCTGTAGGTAATAGGTATATATTTTTTAAATAATAATCGAGAATTGTAAAAATATTTTTAATTTCACCTTAAGTCATTGCTAATGAGCCGATTACTCATTATGTACAAAATAATTACTATAGGTAGGTACATCGTTTTGATTCATCAATGTATTATATATACCGTAAGAGCGGGATACTTTACTCCAGGGGTTAAACATTGCTCCAAAAAAAATATTTATTGATATCAATCGTAGCACATTACGATTTTGAGATCAGAGATTGTAGTTTTTTTATATTATTCTTATTAACATTACTATTTTTTTCAAACATTACGGACATCAATCTATTAGTTTTCTTCCAAGATGTATATCATGTAAAAAATGGTTTTCAAAAACACAAAAATACATAACGGAAAAGTTATCCAAAATCTAGGGGATTGAAATTTAATTTAAAATGTATTGAAAAAAGACTTTTAATCAACTAAAAAAAAAATATATTATAATTAAATTATATTAAGTATAGGTTCAAATAAGTTAAAACACAAGCACTAAACATTGCACCAATAGTTATTATATGCATTAAAGTAAGGTAATTTTAATCATTGTGCAATGTAACCTGCAATGTATTTTAACTTTGCTCCAAACTTTTGGGAATAAGTAAGTAAGTCACTAGTACGACATTCGGATTTTTTTGAATTGTTCTTACCTCTTAACATCTATACAAATAAAACAACGCGAACAGGTAATTTTTATCTTTGTTATTGAAGCTATAGTATAGGTTCAAACTAAAAAAGAAATATATTTGGAGCAAAGTATCCCGCTCTTACGGTATATATATATGTATATAATTTTTTTATATGTAAGCCCCCCCCATTGAAAATAGCTGTGTACGCCACTGGACTCCGTAGTGAGGGTCTTTACTTCGTTACCTAACTGATTTAGGGTACAGTGGTACACTATTAACGGCGCATCCGAGTTGGGTCCCGAGTACTAGGGATAAATCGCAGGTACTACACTAGTTGGGTCCTGGATTTTTTTAGGTACTACACTAGTTGGGTCCAGGATATATTTGGGTACTACACTAGTTTGGGTCTGGGATTATTTTAAGTAAATATACAATCCAAACGAAAAATGATATTGAACGATGGAGATGCATTCAGAGATCATGTAAGTCATTTTTTCTAAATATTACAACGATCAATTTATCAAAATTTATAAAAGACAAAATTAATCAAAAAAATGCAGGAATAATAAATCGATTTGACTTTGCAAAATGAATGTCTTATAAATTTTTACCAACACACGTGTGATTTCTTTAAACAATATTTTATTTCTATTATACAATACCTATGTATTTTTTATATTTGATTTATAACAATTTTAATATTTTTCTTTGTTTAGTACCTGCATGCTATTGCCATTTATTATTCATATAAAATTCTAATAATTTATTTTTTTTAATGGCAAATAAACTAAAAAAATAAACTGTAAAAAAACATTTTTAACCATAACTTTGGTCTAAATAGACAGTCCTAAGTCTGTTAAAATGGGAAGGAAAATAAACTTATATATAGTACTCAAAAAAAAAAAAAAAAAAAATTAAGACCACAACTATTGTTGTACCTGTAAAAATTCCGGACCCAACTAGTGTAGTACCTGCATAAATCCCGGACCCAACTAGTGTAGCAGCATTTTTGAATTCGGGACCCAATTCGGATGCAGCCACTATTAAATATTCGTGTACAAAGCATATTTTTGTACCTATTGGGCTTGTACATACATTGGTACAATATATGTCGTTAGTACCTAACTTAGTATGTTTAAACATTAATAGTAAAATGCTAATATGAAAACAAATAAGTATAATAAATAATTTATACGATGCGATTTATACTATACCTACTACCTAGTCAATTACATAATAATACATTAAATTATTTACAATACTATTATTTATTTACATTTTATTTACATTTAAACTAATACATTTATTTATATTCCATATAATTTGGGTAAGTCAATTTAAAAAAGAAAGGTGGACATGTGTATAACAATGCAGTTTATAATATACCTAGTTTATTACATAATAATACATTACATTATTTACACTATTGTTATTTATTTACATTTTATGTTAGTAAGTCAGTGCGATTTGGAGTTACATTTATTATCGTCAATATTGCTAGCTAGATTTCTTTTTGTTTTTTTTGTTTGGAGGAGTACTTTCAGACTTCAGTAGGTCTCCCTGCTTGCACTCTTTTTGAACCTAAAGTCAATCCTACTTTTCTTCTAGCAAGTGAAGTTGGTTGGACTCCAATTTGTCGACCTCTCTTTTTGTTATTCACCTGAGCCAAAAATGAAAGTGCTTCAGACGAACTCGTTATCGCCGATAATTTTGTCGTTAGGGAACTCATTATTTTATGCGTGTACAAGATATTTGATTCTGATGCTAAAGTGGTTATTCTATTTAAATTATCCTGGAGGTTTTTGGTTACTTCCAAGTTCCAATATTTTAATGTTATTATTTTCATCGACAGGTGCATTATCTAAATTTAATCTTAATATATTAGAATTTGTGGATTCAACCAAACACTTAATACTTATCAAAGTTATTTTGTGCCTCAGTTTCATTACTTGATTTGTCATAATTTGCTTCCAACTGATTCATATTTTGAAAAAATGTTTCATCAACACTACCAATTGCTAATTTGGGCCAACACAACTCTACCATCAAAATTTAGGTTTGGTGAATTTATATATATAATCGATAATTTAATAATCGATCATTATGATAATTATTTTCAGCAGTCGACGTACTCTCCGTCTCTCCCGCCAGTCACCACTGGCCACTGCTGAAGCCCGAAACAGTGCAGCAGCAGCTGACACGGCGGCCACTGACACATGCCGCGGCCTCGCGTCCACGTTATCACCTCACCTTATCTGTTATCACGGAATAGCAGACCACACCACCTCACCGCGAACGTCCGCCCGTCGACTACGACCAGTGGCGTGCGTTTGCGTCGCGTGTGTGTGCGTGTGTGCTTGTCCACGACTGCTCCCCTCCTGCTACCGTTCCGCCGTGCGTGTGTGTGCGTGTGACGTTTTGTCAGTGTGTGTGCGCGACCGACTGTGTTCCTCGCGCCTGCCTAACCTACTTCGTCGAGTCACACATTTTAATTGAACAAATTTAAAAAATAAAATATTCAACAAGACGGTGTATAATATATTTTATTGTATACCATTGTTACATTGTCTGCCACTCGTCACTGCTCTGGTCGCGGACAACGATAAAAACCCGCAGAAAACTGTTGACGCAAAGTCGCGCGCTAGTCCGTCCGCCGTGTGTGCGTTTTCTCAGTTTCCCGTGTCGTCGTTCTCTCGTTGTACTCCTCACATTCACCCAAAATGACCACCAACGGTGAGGAGACCACTTCGGATCGCAACGTAGAGATATGGAAGATCAAGAAGCTCATCAAGAGTCTAGAGATGGCCCGAGGGTGAGTGAAGCTATTATATAATAGTATCTCATAATTATTCATACTTACGCTTAGGGCACTATTTCGACCCCATCGCCTCCATCGTTGCATACGTGCCCCACATAACTTGGATATGTCCAACGAGTGTCAAATTTCGATGCTAAGTAGATTGATCGTCGTCTGGTTGATGGTGGGGTGGAGGAGGAGGGAGGGTTTCCCATGGGAAAAATATACTATAATATTTTTGTTAGGTCAGCGACCGAAATTTGATTGAATCATGTCCTACAGTCCATTCTAATACATTACAAAAAAAGCTGTACCTATTTAATTGCATTTATAAATACTGTTTACCATTTTCAAATGTACCAGTTCAATCCATGTAATGTGACAAAGTGTCAGTCACGTCCGTAGGCCCGTAATATCCACGTCCTGTCTATGTTATCCAATGCATTTTATTATTACCTATAACCTTTTCATGCACTTTATGATGTAACTTATGTTAGGTGATGCCAATATATTCAATTGCTTCTATTATTCCATACAGACACGGTAAAGCATCTGGTTTAACATCTAGTCTCTAGATTGGTAGCTAAAAGCCCAATTCTACAAAACAGATTTATAACTTATAAGAGTTTGATCTATTTTTTCTGTGATGCCTATGTTAGTTAATCACAAGTTAATCATAGTTTTATGTATCATAATAAATATTTTATCTTGAAAGTTGAAACAATATTTTTTTTTGCGTACCTACCTATTTATAGTGTGTACCTACCTATTGCAATTTGTAAGTCATACAATAGGTTACACATAACTAAATAGTATGCCCCTATTAACTATTTTATACCAAAAGAAACCTCATGTCCTGTTTTTGTGGCTACTGGGTGCGGTATACTTTCTTTACAGTACTTACGGCTTATGATGAAGGTCTTTTACAGAAACTTCTTCTCATCCTGAAATGAATACCTGTTTCATAAATTATTAACTATTATATTATCAATCACTCATAAACTAAGTTACAACAAAAAATAAAAAAAATTTATACCTAGGTACCTACCTAATATTAATCATAATTAATTCTAGTATTTATATTAGTTCAAGTAAATTTTAGGACTATTTAGAATGCCAATGAGGATTTATCTATAGATATGTCATGTCTACTGTCAATGTCTAAACTTTTACTCTATAATTGGTCTATTGAAAATATTTGTTTAAAACTTGTATAAGTCTAATTTGATTGCCAGAAAATGTGTGTTTACTCTGTCTATATGACTGAAGCGGGGAAGCTGGGTATTTTGATAGTTGAGGCAGAATATGACGTGTTTTGGTTATGCGCAACCACATTCTCTTGGCGGGTGGAGTATAGCCTTTTATAAGTTGCTATAATCCTATTTATATTAAAATTAAACTCTTGAAAACTTTATTATCAAAAGTATTAAACATCAATGATAGTTTTTGAAGCAAGGCATAATTAAGCATAAATGACAAAATTACCATACTTATAAGTATTTAATGTTTTTATTTTTAGTAATGGAACAAGTATGATATCGTTAATCATACCTCCTAAGGATCAGATTTCCAGAGTGAGTAAAATGTTAGCTGATGAATATGGTACTGCATCAAACATCAAGTCACGTGTAAACAGATTGTCAGTATTGGGTGCTATTACATCAGTACAGCAAAGATTAAAACTTTACACTAAAGGTAATTTTTTAAATTTAATTGTATGAGCGGCTCATTTATATACTATGTGCTCTGTTTTATTTGTTAGTTCCACCTAATGGATTAGTAGTGTATTGTGGAACCATTGTGACTGAGGAAGGCAAAGAAAAGAAAGTTAATATTGATTTTGAGCCATTCAAACCTATAAATACTTCTTTGTACCTTTGTGATAATAAGGTAAAAATGATTTAATTGTTTACCCAAGAACATATTAATTTAATGTATATACTTATTAAGTACCTGTTAATTATGAATTTATATTAAAGTTTCATACAGAAGCACTAACAGCACTATTAGCAGATGACAATAAATTTGGTTTCATTGTGATGGATGGTAATGGCGCATTGTTTGGTACTTTACAAGGAAACACCAGAGAGGTTTGATTAGCTTTTAATTTTGCTTTATATACTTTATAATTTAAAAAATAAAATTGTTTAGGTTCTACATAAATTTACTGTGGACTTACCGAAAAAGCATGGTAGAGGAGGTCAATCTGCTTTACGTTTTGCCCGTCTACGTATGGAAAAACGACACAATTATGTACGTAAAGTAGCAGAGGTAGCCACTCAATTGTTTATTACAAATGACAAACCTAATGCAGCTGGATTAATATTGGCTGGTAGTGCAGACTTTAAAACAGAACTTAGTCAATCTGATATGTTTGATCCTGTAAGTATATTTAATCCCTATTTATCAATACTGTGATACAAATATAATAATAAAAATAATTTTGTTTTAGCGGTTACAAGCAAAAATTATTAAATTAGTTGATGTATCTTATGGTGGTGAAAATGGTTTTAATCAAGCTATTGAATTAGCTGCCGAATCATTACAAAATGTTAAATTTATTCAAGAAAAAAAATTAATAGGTAAAAATCTACCTAATACTTTTACAATAAATATAAACAGTAAATATTGTTAGTGCTATAAATGTAAATAAACAATGTGCTAACTAACATATTTTTACTATGCTAGACTGTTATCCTTATCGTTGTTATTTAATTGTGATAAAAAAATATTTTTTTTTTTTTTTTATTGATCTTAATTAACATCGGTGACAAAGGCCATTAGTTACAATATTGTTTACAATTGCATTTTTTTTTTAACAGTTGGACTTAAATTGTATTATATAGATTAGTTTTGGTTAAGAATTTAAGGACTTGTATGGTGGTCTCTGCGTCTGGTCTGAGGGCTGCATCTAGTGTGTCGGGTATGTGGAAGTTTCTGTGTTCATCTGCGTATTGAAGGCATTCGGTGATTACGTGTTTGACTGAGAGTTCGGTTCCACAAGAAATGCACTGTGGTTTTTCTCCTCTGTCCATGAGGTATCCATGTGTTAGTCGGGTGTGGCCAATGCAGAGTCTGTTTATAACTACCTTATCCCTTCTACTCGGAGGGAAGTTTGGCCATTCGAAAATTGTGTTCTTTATTCTTCTTAGCTTAGTCTTCTGTTTATGCCAGTGCATTTTCCATTTAAACTGTATGCGATCCTTGATTTGGTTTTTTAAATCTGCTTATGTTGTTATATTTAATTTTTGGGCTTCTGATGATGTTGCTGCTTTTTTTTGAGTATTTGTCTGCTTTTTCATTCCTTTCTATATTACTATGCCCAGGAATCCAGATGAGGGCTATGTTTGTTCCTTGGGATTTTGAAAGGCTTATTTGTTGTTGTATGGTCTTTGTTATGTCTGTTGACGTTGTGTTTGTTGTGTTTTTTAGACTTTGGAGAGTGCTCAGGGAGTCTGAGAGTATTAAATTGTTTTTGCGGGAGTTCCCTTGTTCAATTATGAGTTCCACTGTCTTCAAGATTGCTATGGCTTCTGCAGTGTAAATGGAGCAACATTCGGGGAGTTTAAAATGGAGGTGCGGTTTACTCTAATAATTGCTATGCCCATTCCTTCTTCAGATTTGGAGGCGTCTGTGAAATAAAGCTTGGCGTTTTTGTGATTTTGGAGAATTTCATGTAGGTGGTTTTTATACGTTATTGGAAGTGTGGTTTCTTTCTTGAATTTTGTCAACTCCTGATTGATGACGAAGCTGGTGTTCCACGAGGGGAAAGTGTAGGGCTGGACTTTGATTATTGAGCTTAGGTCTACTTCATATTCTTTGGCGTAACTTGAGGAATCTTTTATATGTTTGTTTGCAGGACTGCCTGGGTTTCTAGCAATGTTTGCTGCATACAAAAGGGATTTTTCGATTCTTCTTAAATCGGGAGGGGGTTCAAAAGCCAGATTTCGGATGCTTTCAATGGGACTTGAACGAAAAGCTCCCAAGGCGAGTCTTATACTTGAGTTGATGGAAGTGTCTACTATCTTTAGGTGGTTTGGTTTGGCTGATTGGTAGATTGATGCCCCATACTCGATTTTTGCTCTAATGAGCTGTCTATATATTTTTATGAGAGTAGCTTCGTCGCCTTCCCATGTGGTGTGGCTTATCATTTTCATAATGTTGAGACTTCTTGATAATAGAGTTTTCAACTGCTTAAGGTGCTGTATCCAGTTTGTTTTCTTGTCGAAATATACTCCGAGAATTTTTAACATGTTTTTATTTGGAATAGCAGTTTAGGCAGTTTAGTGGTTTAGGCCTAAAAAAAAAAAATAATTTAAATTGAGTTATGATATGAATTTATTTTTAGGACGATATTTTGATGAGATCAGTCAAGATACTGGAAAATACTGTTTTGGTGTTGAGGATACTTTAAAAGCTCTAGAACTTGGATCTGTTGAAACATTGATATGTTGGGAGAACCTAGACATTCAGAGATATGTATTAAAAAACCATACAACAGCTGAAGAAAAAATATTGCATTTGACCCCAGAACAAGAAAAAGATAAATCACATTTCACGGAAAAAGATGTATGTCTACTTAATCCAAATTAATTGATAACAATAAAGAACATTCAAATAAATTGTAATGTAATATGTTATAGACCGGAGTTGAATTGGAATTAGTTGAGTGTCAGCCACTTTTAGAATGGTTAGCAAACAATTATAAAATTTTCGGAGCTACCTTAGAAATAATCACAGATAAATCCCAAGAAGGATCACAATTTGTTAGAGGATTCGGTGGCATAGGAGGTGAGTAATTATATATAATTTGTATTAACAATGGAAATAAAAAAATATTTTCATACTTTTTAAATATAACTAATAATTAACTATAATATATAATCTAGTGGTTCATAAGCTTTAATAATTAATGTAATATTTTTAAATTATGGTTGGAATCATTAACCTCTAGGTCTATAAGTATAAAATTTAAATTTATTGACAGGCATACTCCGCTACAAGGTTGATTTTCAGTCCTTGCAAGCGGATGAGCCATTGGACGATGTGAATCTTGATGATTACTAACTATATTTACTAACCTAAGGTAGCTTCATTTACAATTAACAAGTACTGATGTGTGTTATATTATATGCATGAGTACATTTGTATTATGATTTGATTTCAATGCATGCATAACTAAATGCAATTTTTTTTTATTTTTGACTAGAATAATATATTTTTGTTTAAAATTAACATGTATTATGCTTTAGTTAATAATAATGAAATTCTATGAAAGATAATTTAAATTAGTTTGACTATAACATTTTGTATGTAGGTATATAAATCTAAAATTGTATGTAAGACATCTAATTTTATTTTATTTTTTTAATATGTACATACATTTCAAAAACAGTTTTAAATATTTGTTCATATCTATTAAGAGGACGTGATAACTTCATGTATTGTCTCTGTCTTACAAGTGCATAACATAGCAAATTATACTCAAAGCAGAATACGTGTAGCTCCATTAGCTTAAAAATTAGAATAAATTGACCTCTTATAAAATCTAAAACCTCGTGAGCTTTTCATTATATTTTAATTTTTTAGCGAGTTATGAGTACTTTAAAATGTACAAACAATTTGTGTATTTATGCTACTCACTTGTAAGACGAAGACAACACATGCGGGTATCACGTCCTCTTAATCATTAACAATAAACATGATGATATTTTTAATAGCTAAAATTAATCATCAGTTTTATTTTTTCATAGTTAGAACTTCAAGTATTTATAAGTTATAATACTAAAATTTTGAAAAAAAAAATATAGATTTGATATATTTTGTAATTTATCAGACATGGAAATATTTTTTAATGATTGCTCCTAGTTTTAATTTCATATTTCAATGCAGAATACATTTTCATAAGAGTTGATATATTGTCTGATTATTAAGAGGATGTGATACACTGATACCCGCATGTGTTATCTCCGTCTTACAAATGTACAACGTAGCTAAAAGTTATGACTTTACTTCCTCTGTATTCAGTGATGTATTGGAGGGTATACGTCGTTAACCCGGATCCCTATTTTTGGATTTGTGCGTATACCTTTAAAAAAATTAGTATTTTATGGGTATACGCACGCTTCCAATTTATGGTCTGACAAATAGACAATTCAGTTATATTATCACCAAACAAAACTTAAAAATAATAATTATTATAAACAAATTAATACAATAATATTTTATTATTTTTTAAGTACACTGTCCAAAAATAGCCTTGTACCCACATAAAGTTCGATTAGATTTTACCCGACTTCGGATTCTTGCGAAGACAATAGGAAACTGCCGTTAAAATGATTTATAATAATATTTAAATTTTGATATGTTGTTGACATAGATTAATAGTTAATATAGACTAATAAATACTGTATATTATCTAAAGTCGTTTATTATTTTAATAGTATAGTCCATTATTTTACTGTACAATTTTTTTTAAGTTTGGTAATAAAAAGTTGTATTCTTTGATATTTATGAATTGATATAATTAAAAAAAAATAATACATTAGATACTGATACTTGATACATTTTACACACAGTGGCGTATATAGGAATTAATTTCGGGGTGGGAGTGAATATAGGGTGACCCCCCCCATATATACGCCACTCAATATGCATATGCACATGAAAAGTTAGCGTTTGTAATAAAGTAATAAAAGATTATTAAATATTAAGTGCAATGATTTTTCGAGTGGAGCGGGAAAATTTTTTAAAGAAGTTATATATAGTTATATAAGTATATTCAACTATTTTTAGGTGCGTATACCCATAAATTTATTTACCAATACACCACTGTCTGTATTTATAGTAGAATTACCAAAATTCCACAACTTAGCGTTTTTATTTGTTGGATAACATAAATACAATTAAAGTTATCAGCCTGAAGACATTAGTTTTTTTGATTTTTTTGATTTATTTATTAAAAATGATTGGTTAGTGTTATCAAAAAAATTAAAACTCTACTTAACAGATAAAAATCTTCCCTATAGGTTGTAGAATTTCAGTAATTCCCCTATAAATGCAGAGAGAGTAAAGTTGTTACTAGCAAAACAGGCTTTGGCTATGTTGTACATTTGTAAGACGAAAACATCACATGCGGGTAGCACGTCTTCTTGAGAGGTTTAGAAGAGGTGATTTTCTGTCTTTATCTTACAGACATGCAACATAAGAGCTTAGACTTGTTCTATTTCCAACGTACCGATTCATCTAGTGAAGTTGTAAGAATTCTGAAATACATTTAAGTTTGTTGGGAATCAACTTTTCCAAATTTTTGATTTTAGTTAAGTAGAATTAATGACAAATTCAAATCTTTTTTCAGCATTCTTACCACTTCAATAAGTGAATTTGGTATGTTGGAAATAAAACACGTCTAAATTCCTATGTTTTGTGTGTGTTAGGCAAAGATAGAAAATCACCACTTCCAAACCCATTTTTTATTTATAATTATTTTAAGTTTAGATCGATAGAACATTACATATTTTTTTGGTATAAATTATTTTACATGTTAAGTTTTATCTTTTGTCGGAGCTTTATTAAAAGATATATTACATATTTTTTAAAATGTTAGTACTTAGTAGTATGACTATGCAATTTTGTTTTTTTTAATAATAATAATTTTATAAGTAGGTTAAGTCTTGTTAGACTGAGAACATTTTGAGTGTTTTAAACAATGTTTTATGCTTAATTTTTATATTTACTTTTTTAATTTTTGTGTTATATTTTGCTTCATTCAGAAAAACATTCAATATTTTAAATAACCAATAAATATATTTAATTATAATTTTTTATATTTTCTGTACATTGGTCACATTAAAATAACATTTTTAAAACTTTATCTAATTAGAACATTGTATTAAATTTGTTGTAAATGGAAAATAAATATACCCATTAACATTTAGACGTTAATGGTAATCACTGTAGACTTAACTTTGAAAGTACTAAATACAATGTATTTCTATTGCTTGTTTATTTGGATGTTTTTCTTGTACTTTATTGGTGTTATTATTTGTTTACTAAACAATGGGTTTTTCTTTTCTTTTTCAGGATTATTACGTTATAAAGTTGATTTCCAAAGTATGCAGTGTGATGATTTGGATCCAAATGAACTTTATGACATTGACGATTATTAGGATGTTAAATATTTGAAAGGATAACCTATTGAATATCTAGGGAAAATTAAAATAAGTACAGTTCATTTTAGCTTAAGCATGTTGAAAAAAGAAGAAATCTATTATTATTTTAAACATAATTATTTCCTTTACTTGATGTTATCTTTTTATTCAAAAGTAAAAAAAAAAAAATAATCATAATTCCATTACATTTAAAAATATATATTTATATTTTTTAAAATTTAAATATTGTGTTTCCCTTTATTATTTTTAAGTACTCCAATAATTAATACTAAAAAGTAGATTACAGTGAGTAATACAGGGTGAAGCATGAGTATTAACGCAAGTTATTAAAATATAATTTTGTTTTGGAATGCTTGGATTATGAAATTAATTATAAAATATATTTTTTTTTTTAAAGACTTAATTTAGGCTCAATGGTCTTCAAGAATCCCTATTTTAAATTAATTTATATTCCTACATAAATTAAATTCTCAATGTTCTATTCATACATTTATTTACTTTTTTGTACTACTTTTCAGAAATGGATATGTCTGATTATTTAACAAAAACCCTTGTTACATCCTTTTCAAATCCTTCTATATGTAAAATAATTATTATATACATAGTTTTAATATTATATAATTTTAATATTTTATGTAGATAGTTATATTTTTAACTTATTGATCTAATGGTATTATTGTACAACTCAAATCAACAACTATTTTTTCTTTAAGCTTTACATAATTTTTTGGTAGGAAATACTTTAATCAGACATCAGTAATTGATTCAACACTGCAAAGTCACAATTGCGTATTCATTTTTATTTATTCAATTTGCTCAACTGCTACAAAATATAAATGTAATTAGATAAAAAATTATTTTTAGTGTACATTTTTCTATGTCCACAAATATGTATTTTTAATGCTTCCTTTTCGTGAACAAAAAATTCTAAACTCTAAAACTTTATTCGCCATTCATTGGTCGAGTTTAATTTCTGGATCTTTGGAAACCAGCAACATTACAAAATATTCTTAATATCTATACATGCTCTTTGGGTGGAGTACAAATATTTAAGCGACCATGTGATAGTATACAATTTGTAATTTGTACTACGTCTTATATTAAAGTATAATTTATCTACAGGAGTGGCCTTAGGATGTTGTGACTTATTTGAAATGCTTTTGTGTGGGACACCTTAGATAGGTAGTTTCTTTTTTTAATCTTTTAGTCTAATTTATATTTGTATTTTATATATATATATTTTTTGAATTGTAAAAAAATATCATAAATAGAAGCTTTAATATCTAATACGTACAAAGTTTTTTTTTTAATAAGTTGTAAATTGTATTGCAACAATTTTTATATATTCAAATTCGTAGTCAACTTATTTTGTAATCTATAATAAATAATAATATTTAGGTACATAACAAGAAAAAAATAGGGTTCTCGAGTAGAATAAAACTAATCATACAGAAAAACTAAATCAAAGTACTACATTTGTATTCATTTTAGTTATAAATTATTATATTTGTAAATGAGAATATAAATATTTAAATATTACTATAAAAAAAATCGTATTATATTATCCATGTAGGTGTTGCTTACAATTGTTTTTTTTTTTTTTATTGTTCAACAGTTAATAATATCACATTAGACTATCCTAATTTAGATTTGCACAATTTAATCATTTGTTTTGATTTTATATAATTGGACCCTGAGTTTCTTCATAAAATCTGATTTCTGAATCCTCCTAATACACTATTGGTAATTTACTGTAATGTTGGTATGTATTGGAAAACTGCCCTACTGTTTTAAATGACTAATAAGGCTTTTCAATTAATTTATTAAACCAAAATAATATATACCCATAGAGACTAACCACAGTTCAGAACAGTGTGGTTGTTACCACTTTACCAGTGTTGGGGGTATTTGTTTTATAATTCAATCACACCAATGTATAAAATATGTTAATCATTAAATATAAATAAGGGCAATACCATAAAAGGCTGATTTGACTTAGGATTATTATTATTCTAGTATTATCCTAAACATAACTAACATATTATAACAACGATTTAGACACAAGTTATCAAAGCAGCATAATATAAATTTAAATAACTTATAAATTATGGATAAAATTATAGGTTAAAATTTACAAGCTCTATTTATCTAGAAACAATAGTCACTAACACCTCACTAATACCTTCAAGTTAAATAGATATTAAATGCAGACTTGGAGAGTTGCGGGTTTTAAAACGCTTTCAATTAAAATTATCATCATTCTAGTTCTAGCAAATTTAGATTGATCTAGTTATGAGACACAAAGGACTGTTGATTTGGAGGTCAATTGTTTGAAATATATTGAGAAAATGGCTTAAATAATTTTACAAAGTTATGATTAGGTAGGTAGTACTAGTTGACAAAAATGTATGATTGTTAGTAGATGGTATTGACATGTGTTCTTAGAATATAATAATAAAATTAATACATTAACTTAACCGTTTTACTTAGATTTTAATTAAACGAAAATCAGAAAGATCATGATAAATATTTATTAATATTTTTAATTATTTAAAAATGTGAGTATATTTTATCAACAATGTATTTTTTTTCTTGTAAAAAAAATAGCAAATTACCACAATAACATTTGTACATTATTAGCAGTTTGGCTAAAATTATTTATAATGTAAGTAAATATATAAAATTATGATATACATTAATGTATTGTATTTATTTAGAATCGTTTATTTTCTTGATTCATTTACTTAATGTTCTCTCAACAACTGGAATCTTCGGTCGAGATCCAATTCTTCGCCTTCCAAACTGTTGTCCGGTACAATTGGTAGGTCTGTAAAAATTGTTTTTCAATTGTTAATACTATAGACTATAGATACAATCAGTGGCGTCCCCACAAACTTTCAATGAGGGGGGGGGGATGTTATAAGTGATGAGGATTGAGATTTTACTTAAAATGGTTAGATTGCACTAAAAATTGCAAAAATATTTTCTATAATATTACCTTAAATATTGCTAAATCTGCAATAAAAACAACAAAATATATAAAAATTGAAATAAAACAACAAAGTTAAAACTGATGACAAAAGTTTAAAATTAAAAGCTAATACATAATAATGAATGCCGTTGCTAGTCGTGTCAGATTCTCCATGTAGTCAGATATTCAAAAACACGTTTATTAAAATGTTATTTCATAAAACATGATAACCAATTTTGATTAAAAACTAGTCAAAATTGAAAAATGTACAAATTAAAATTTTTAATTTTAATTCCCTGAATCATAAAATAAATTTTATGCTTACGTCTTTTAAGCAGTGTCGGCCTGGCCATTAAAGGGCCCAAGAAACCGCATGTAGATATCAAATTAAATGCATACAATTTTAAGTAAGAATATAATTTCCTCCTTAATTAATTTGAAGTTAAATCAAATCTGTATTCAATTCAAAATACTTCTTAAGATATTATCTTTTTCTATTTGAACTCATTTGTATTTTTGTGCCCATAATATTTTATATTGTCAAATTATTTATTAGGATTAATGTATATACCTAGGTTAAAAAAAGTTCAGGGCCTTGGCAGCAAACGCTGCCTAACTGCCTTGACCAGGCTAACATAGCTGTTCTAGGCATTTTTAAATAAATATACAAATGCTAAAAAAACCAACCCCGGTAATTATTTAAAATCATTTAAATTAACTGTGGAAGTAGCAAAGACACAAAGAAGGGGATTTATGGGACAAGCAGATATAACTAACCCCCTTCCCCCCACCCGCGAATATATTAAATGCTACTAAAGCGCTACCTGGAATGAGATATTTTCCTGTGTTTGATGCGGCTGGTTCATCTTTACTCAAAAGATCAGCCAGTTCATCTTCTAATTCTTGTTCGTTATACTTTTGTTTAACATCGACTAAACTGCCCATTGCTGATTGCATATCTTTGTGTTCATCTATGACCTATAATAATAAAAATTAAAAGTGATAGCAATATTATTTGTTTGTTGTATTATAATTATTACTTCTGCTAATTCTGCCATTGTTTCATCAACATTATCAATTGTGAGACCAGAATCCTTAGACGAAAGTTTTAAAGCTGCAAGTCCATGAGCATACGATTGCAATACCTATAGAATTATAATTTAAAGTTGGGTAAAAACTCTGATAATTCATAATACCTATTTTATATTGTTATTTACTTCGGCGTTGTATTTAGATTCTTCTATTCTTGAAATTAAAGCTTGCACGTTGTCAAGTGATTTCAGCTGTTTTTCTATTCGTTTTTCAATTTCTTTCTTTTTTCGCAAGTACGTTAGTGCCTAAATTATTTTAAATTGATTTTTAATAAACTATTATTTAATAATAGTAGGTATGTATTACAAATGTTTGAAATGTTCTTAAGAAACTTACAATAGGTTTCATATTTTTGGCTATGTAACTTTTAGCTTCTTTGACTAAAGATTCTTTTTCAAAATCCATATTGCTAATTTCACCAATTAATATCTTCTCGGTTTCTTTTAATTTAAAAAAATTCTTTTCTAATTCAGAAATGGGTTCAACATCTTTGTCACCACTTGCAATTTTAACTAATGTTTTGTTGGTCACTAGATGTTCACCGCGTTCTACAAAAACTTTATTCCGAATTTCCAATGAGTGCACTATAAGTTCAGTAGAAGTCATTGACACTTCAGCGTTCCACATCTTATTAAGTCTTTTTTGTATATCGTCCATGAAAAGGATTTGCGATTGATCATTCACAGAAATAGTGTTAAATAGTTCATTAGCTTGATTCTTTAAAATAAAAACTCAGTATTTAAGGACAGTGAAATATTAAAGACTTATAAAAAAATGTATTACCTCAACCAGATGTAAAACTACATATTCTGATTTTTCGTCAATAGCAGGAGTAGGAGGTAAAATAGATTCTTTAATTCTACCAACAGACCATGATAATGGACCTTTTACTAAGGTGTTTACTGCCCAATTTGACCAATTACTGTTGCTTTGAGACGTCATTTGTTCAAAATTTGATTGGGATTTTATGATACCTTCTCTGAATGAAAAATACAAGTAGGTATAACTTATAAGGTATTACATTTACAATCTGTTTTACATAAATATTAATAATAATATGTTAGGAACATTCTATACCTTTACTCTGTCCAGCAAGAGAATGGAATGATTCTGCGCATTCTCCCGCGTCAACCTGCTATCAAAACCAGTTCTGCAATGGCAGGGTGTCGCGCGGGGATGCGCAAAAAATTACAGTTAAAAAGCTAGAGGAAATGGATTTTAAATTAAATCTTAAAAGGTAAAAAATGACTCTACATGTATAATCATATGAATGTAACAAGGATTTTGTGTCAACATACGATCAAACGCTTTGCAACAAATCTATACAAGGTATTGTCAAATGGTTTTATGCAAGTATTATAATTCAGTAATTTTATGTTTCTTTGATCAGGATCTTGGTATGCTGAACTTACCTAAACATGTCCTCGACAACTATCAGTAAACATAGTGGCGATCGTCCCCTGAACAAGAACCATGTTTTCAATTCGTTTACAGAAAATGAACTACGGTGCCTACGGTCACACTCAGATACAATTGTATTTTTCCAGAATTTCATTTTGTTGTCATAATTCACTTCGTTTACAGACCGATTTTTGAATGGCGCCATTAATACTGTAATCCGTTCATCGGATAGACCTTCCGTCCATTTTTGATTAGACATAATATTTTCTGTTGATAATTACGAAATGGCTATTCACATATAACACGTCCGACGTGAATCCATAAAATGCACACCGCACAGGAATGGAGCACTGGACAGCTACAGACTACAGAGTATAATAGACAGTAACAGACTAGACAGTTACAGATTTGATATTTTTATGCAACGCATTAACGACACAACCAGAAGTTTGATATCAGTATATCACACTATAATATCATAGAACAATATTGATGTTTTCATATAGATAATATTATCTGTGGATGTTTTCCTTTTTTCCGTAGGTAATAACCACGGACGTTGTTCTGGACGTATGAAAATCCTCATATCGGCCATGTCTGATTCGTACGATGAGTTGCCTATGGCATGCTCCTCTTCCGAATTATACTTCCACGTATAGAAATCCTGTTCAAAAGTAGAAAATTATCAGTAATTTCAAAAATAATTGAAAAAAGCTAAGAAAAACAACATTTTTTATAATATATAGACATGATATTATTTTCAAAATATTTTGTCTTTCTTAAAGCTATTCGAAATTGTTGACTATTTTTAGTACCAACCTACCTATTTTAGATGCTGAGCAGATTGATAAATGTATTGATTTTACAATGATGTGTGTTTTGTTTATTCATAATAAGTTGTAGTCGAATGTTGAATTAATCTTTCGATTTTAAACTTCAGTACATTTTTTGGCGGGAAAGTGAATACTGAATCTAGTTGGTACTTTTGAGAGGTCAACATTGCACATTTCCAGTAGGTAGGTACTAGGTAGATAGTTTTCAAAAGCGTCAGAAAAAAACAAATTAAAAAAATTGAATTTTATACCCAAACCAATTTTCGACAAAATAGATTTTTTTTGTTTTGCGTAACTAAAACAAAAAAATAATAGTTTTTAACGTTTAATGAGAGTTTGAAGAGTTCAAATATTTTTACCGTAAACTAACGATTTCTTATGGAGCGATAATTCTTATTTTGTTGTAATTTAAATACTTTGAATTTTCACTAAATATTTGTATTAAATTTAGGTATACCTAGTTGAAAAACATTTTTACTCTTTTCGAGCTATTTATAGACATTTTAAATTATTTAGTTTTTTTCTATTTTAATCGATAAAGATATCTTATATTCTATCAGGGCCGTAGACACGGGGGGGTTTAGGGGGTTCAAACCCCCCCCCCTTGGAAAGTTTTTAAATTTATTTCAAATATTTAAAACTTCTAATATATCTTATATATTAAAAAAAAATTTTTATCAATAATAGTTATTAATAATATTTTAGATGTTTGTGTTGTTAAGGGTTATAAGTAAGGTATTTTGTGTATCGTCTAATGGTCGCAATGACAAATCACCATTACCAAAACCGTTTTGTTACTGTGATAATTGATAATCTTATTATATGTTTATGTTGATAATACTGAAATTTAAGATAACATATTAATAAGGTATTATCAGTATTATAGTTAAAACTTTAAAAGTTAAAACCGTGCTAAAAAAAAACATAGATTTGAGAGAAATGATCAGTTTGGCCAATATCAGTATCAAGGTTCTTGACAATTTAAGGGAAAATGTAGATCATGAATTTAAAAAAATGTTCAAAGAAGCTCAAGTAATGAATGCCTTAAATTCAATTTTAATGTTCATTTTTTTAACTATAATTATATTTTTAAATAGAGATTGCCTCAGATGTTAGACTTTGAAATATCAGTCAAACAGCTGAAAAAGAGTCAAAATATTTTCAAAATTGTATGGTGTATAGGAAATTCTAATATAAACATTCAGTGAAATTTTCATGTATCTACAGTTATTCGTTTTTGTATTACAACAAAATAAGGAAATCGCTACATGAGAAATCGAGTGAATATCCAATGTTGTAAAAATTTGAATTTCAAACGCTCTTAAAAATTTAATTTGACTTTCTTATAGACATTTTTTTTTTGATAAATGTAGATAATCTTATGAGGAATCTTGTATTACATTTTCAAATCTTAGATTTAAAAAGAAAAATTTTTACGAATTCTTAACTCAAAATAATTTGCTAATTTTCATGATTTTTCCATATTTTGTCAATTTTTGAACTTTAAATGCTTATAAAAAAAAATTGTGACTAAGGATTTTTAATATTTTTCATCTGCCTTTGAAACAATATACTAGGAGCCTTCTATTAAATTTTCAAGCTTTCGCAAACAACAAATAAAATTTTATTGATATTTTTAGAAAAAAAACTAAAAAAAAATGGAAAATAAAAATGTGCCTAAACAGTTCAAAGTAAATCAAAATATTTTGAAAATGTTATCGTGTATAGAAAATGCAAATATAAGCAACCAATGAAAATTTCATGTATATACGTTTATTTGTTTTAGAGTTACACTAAAAACCAAAATCGATTTTTCGGAAAACCGATTTAGCGTAAAAATTCCCGTTCTTCCATAATTTTTATGTTGTTTTTCCCGGCGCTTGTGAAAACTACTGGGAAATTTTTACTTTTGACCCCCCAAAGTACCAACTAGATTCACTTTCCTATCAGAAAAGCTACTGTTGCATGTAACAGTACTATAACATGTTATTATTATAATAAACCCCCCCCATATAAAATTCCTGTCTACGGCACTGTATTCTATTTTAAAATAATTTTCACCGGCTTGGTGAAAACGATAAATTATTAACGAATAGGTACTTTCATCGTTTTCCCGTTCCCACGAGGTCTCAGTTAAGTGAATTTTTTTTTATCAATTATATCGTCAATTGATTATTTTGTCGGTGACGCATTCTGGTTTGTAATATTGAGTTAGTTTTCACCTTATAAACATATATCTTTGAGTGCTGACCATTGTATGCGTTAATCCAGTTACGAAAAAATTGGATGTTAAGACTGGCGGTTGACCTTGAAGGAGTGTACAAGTGTTTTCCATAAAAAAAAATAAAAAAAATGTTTGTTCCTGTTTAAATAAAATAAAATATGGCAACCCTACTTTAGATGTTGCCACTTTGGTACCTATATTATGATTTATTTTTGGCCTTTTTATATAACACACTTGTGCATGCAGGTTTTTCATTTGGCCCGTTTGGGTTTTGCTTATAAAATAAAAATAAATAATTAAATGAACAACAATAGAAAGAAAATATTACATGACTGGAAGCATTTAACCTTTAATAGTTAAAATTGGAAAATAAAAAAAAATAGTATGGATAAGTGTGTCTGTATTATAGACGTATCATAGCCAGTGATGTAGTCCTAAAAAAGTTGATGGGTACAGGCCTTAATCATTGTAAAAAATAATTTGGGGGGGGGGGGCTACGTCTAACCTGCTTACCACAATTTTCGTTAAGAGTATACTCAAAAATATAAAATTAGGAGGTGGGTACACGTCGACGCCAGGATTAAAAATATATAGTATCTTTAATCATGGTATACGCCGTGTACCCTCCACTACACCACCGACCATGAGCTAACTTCTTAGTTTATGGTCTATAGTCAATAGTTTGTAACAAAACTGAAGAATAATGATTTAACCACGCCATCGAGGAATAGATGAAATTTCATATAATATTATTCTGTGATATAACCAGTAGGTGCTAATGTGGTGTCGACTGTCGAATACAATAATAATTATTTTACTGCGTATAATATTATAATTTATAACCATAGGAAATTCCACAATGTGTGCATAATACAGATATCTGTGGGAAATCCATTATAATATTTAATTATAATATAATTAGTAATTACTATCGCTGTTAATCGTTATTATTATATCATATAGTGTTGTACCTTGTACCTACCACAATGTTGTTGTGGGTTTTGTCGACCATCAACGTAGGTAATAATTAATATGTATATTTGTGATAGTACATAGATTTCATAGCCATGAGCCATAATATACACATTACACGCAACTGCAAGTATGCAACGCATATATATTTTTAATTTTAGAAAACATTAATATTTGACTACAGACTCCTTTCCTATTCTAACATCCTCCTATTATCAACTTAGCCACACTCTCAATTTCTGGAGATCCTCCGAGACAGCTTAAAAGGAATTGGTGCCAGCTAAAATCTGCCTGGACAATTATTTTTTTAAAACTGATATATTATAGGTTACCAATTACCAGCTATAGCATGTATCACTTTAATTCTTGGGAGGTCACCCACTTATCCTTTCATGAACAAGTAACCGGAGGAGCGAGAAGTACCAGAAGTATCAGAAGTGTCCACTCTACCACTACACCATAAACTCGAGACGTCGTAGTGACTTAAATTTTGTCATTTCTCGTTTAACAGTGTATATTAATAAAAGACAATGCTTATGTGAGTATGTCGTGTGTGTTTAGAGTTTTAGAATTTTATAAAAGCAGTACTTTTAATATATATTACAGGCTTACAGCATGAACTAAATTATCTATTACTATCTTAGTTAATTCATATAGGTATATGTATATCATGTAATTTAGGTATATTATATATTATTATATTATAGTTACCTATGAAAAAATATAATAAGCAATATACCTTGATAATATGGATTATATTTTGGCCATGCAATATATTATGATACCTAGTTGATAAGTGGTTCTATGTAAAAGTTCGCATCACTACTGTCTACTGCTATATATTGTATTATTTTTTATAATGAATAACCACAAAATGTGTGACAAAGAATAATGAAAACCATGAACTAGGCATAGATAATATAGGTATGGATAGGACATGCCCACGATTTAAGATATACTTTAAGATATTTAAGTATATCTTAAATCGTGGACATGCCTATACCAGTTCCATATGGGGCAGAGTGATTTTTCGGGGAAGAATGGAAGATAGAACGTAAAGAGAGAAAGACGATATGGGGCTTTTTAAGGTTATGTGCAAAACTATTTTATTAAATAATAAAGATAACATGATAGTCAGTTATATTTAGATATATGTCAGTTTGTATTTTGATTGATGTACCACCTATAGATATTAAAGAATGGATGGGCCATGGCTACATTAATAAAATAGAGGGTCGTGTGCCGGAATAGGGAAGAGAGAAAGACTGTTTTTTATGATTGTATCTCATTCTGGCAGAGGTCTTATCATAAATTATATACAATAGTTATAAATATATATCTATTTGTGTTAAGACCTCTATAACCTCAACATTTTTTCATGATCTTTTCCGTATGATAAGCTCAAATGGCTTATCCATCTATGGTACCACCTGTGCCTGGAAAATGGAAATTGGAAAATAATATCTATGATAATATTTTAACAAAATAAAATTATGTTATTTATTATTTATTATAATTAATCAACTATCATATCAATATTTAAATTATTCTAGGTCCTCTAGCGGCACAGTTTTTCAGTCCTTAATTAGTGTTCAGTTACTACGTTTACATGACGAAGTTAAAACGGTTTTAAATCCACGGTCATCGAGGTATATGAACTATAGTTTATATACCTCGATGTTCACGGTTAATAAATTTGTTACTTTTAGATAAAACAACTGAAACTATCAGTAAGAAAGCGAGTAACCTATCTATGGATTTAAAACCGTTTTAACGTCACCGCATGTAAACGTAGAAAGCAGTGCCGCAACTTAGTTATTTAGGGCCCCAGGGCAAATTTAATTTCGGGCCCTATAACTATAGGGGGTACATAATATTATAAAATGCTGCTATATATATTTTTTTTTTGGATAAAATTAAAAGGCATGATAAATGATAATTATTTTGTATATCTATTTTATTCTATGTTTCTGTGGAAATATTATCTGTATTAATATAATTTATTTTATATATTTAAATAATTTTAATAAACCTAACAATACATTAATTCATACTTAATCAAATTTCATTTTTCTTGCTTTCATATTTGAAAAATTTGTTAATATTTTGTCCATATCAATTTCTTTTGTACGAAGCTGTTCAATATTTAAAATTGAAATATTGGACAGTCGTTCTTGTCCAATTGAATTTCTTAAATAGCTTTTTATTATCTTAAGTTTTGAAAAAGACCTTTCTGCTGTTGCGACCGTTACTGGCAATGTCAAATAAATTATACATGCTCCTAATGAGTTACTCCAGAGTAACTCGTGGCAAAATCGTTTTCGAGAATAAATGAAGCCAGTGCTTGAAAACTATTCAAATTTTTATTACCTAGGTATTTATAATTTCTTTGATTGATAGCAGTTGACTCGTTAAATCAGAACTTATATCTGTTTGATACATTTGTATAAAGTCATATGATCCTTTAATAGTAATTTCATCTGGTCCTAATAGTGTTTGAGGTTTCAAAAAATTGAAAATGGTACAAACGTTATGTAAACCTTTAAAGCGATCTTTATGTTGACATATTATTGTGTTAAAAATTGGTAAAAATACTTTTATTTTAAAATTATCTTGTGTGATATTCAACCGTCTGTCGCCATCTATTTCATCAAAAAACAATCTTGCTTTTTTTTGGCGAGCCACTTTGTCATCAGCTGGAATACCCCATTTAATTGCCAGGTTGCTTGCATTTTCAACTACACTACAATAGTCATTCCTTAGTTGCTGCATACATGTATAGGCATCAGTCAATCTATCTAATGCTTTCTGGAGGTCAATGTCTTGCTTCTGCAAAAGTTTAGAGATACCATGCAAAGGGCGCAATACTCGTGCCCACAAACATAACATAAGTAAAAATACAAAAGATTCTATTTTTTTTTTAATTGAAATTGCCATATGTTTTTCATCTACTTTATTACTTGATAAACTCATGTATGTTAATGATTTTATAACTCCTATATACCTTTGTTTTAATGCAGATACTGATGAATGCCTCCCAGCGAGTAGGACAAACTTTTTTTAATACTTTAAGTCTAATTGTTTTGGAAGTATCATCACCAAATGAAAATTATGCCCATCTAGGACAACTAGAACTATAAAAATTGAATATAGTTTGTAATATTGTAAAAAAGTTAGTTCAACTTTCGTCAATTTTGCTGCATCACAAATCATCAAGTTAAGGTTATGTGCGCAGCAGTGTACATAATGTGAATTCGACACAGTAGTCAGTAGAAGATATTCTTTGTTGCACTCCTGAATAAGCTCCACTCATTACTGCTGCATCATCATAACCCTGCAGGCCTCGACAATTTTGGATGCCTAAATTGTATTTTTTCAACACGTCATAAATAAGATTTTCATACCTAGTCCTTTGAGCCATGGTTCTCTAATTCAAAAAACCCCAAAAAAGATTTTTTTACTTCAAATGATTTTGTTTCGTAGTTTAAAATAACATAACGCAGTATACCTAACACTCAATTGATCAATTTTTGTTATATCTTGTGTCGAATCTACTATTATTGAATAATATTTAGATCTTTTTACTTCGTTTGCTAATATATTTAATACTTCTGAGGATAATAAATGAATGAATGAATTTTTTTATATTTATAAAATTTATATTATAAATGTGAAATAATTTAATATACATAGAGCCATAGAGGCATAAGCTATACATTTTATTGGTGAATTATTATTTTGTATGTAGGTACCTAAATGTAAACGAAAGAGATATTTTTATTCTATTTTTATTTTTCACTTTTGTGGTGCTTACTTTGGTTTATAAGACAAACTAAGTATTCAGTGTAGCCAACGCCAAGATTATCAGTGATTTTTTCATCATTAATCTTTTATCACAGAATAAATCTATGAAATTAAATTGACTTGCCACCAAAGACCTTATACTACTACGGCCATAGATAGTACTATATACTATCTTTAATCTTGCTTATACCATAGACTTTTACGCCAGATATATAAAAATACTATTTTTATATATCTGTGCTTTTACCGCATTATTACTAATCGATTATGAACTCCTTAATATTTAATATTTAAAATAATTCCATTCAAAATACATTTTTACAAAATCAAAAACCAGGAAAAATAATAATAGTATCCATCCATTATGGGCCCACTTTGAAAAATACATTTGGGCCCTTTGGCAGGGCTTTGTGGGAGGGTGGTAGTTGCGGCACTGGACTAGAAAGTGATATTAACGCATTCTCTGCTTGTAAAATGTATGAATAGTTACCTACATATGTCATAACATAATATAACTGAAATAAATAAAAATTCCTACATACTACATACCTACATTATTATTGTTATAAAATACCTACTTATTACGTAAAAAGTATAAACTTATAATTGAATAATTTTCGTATTTTTTTTTTTTTTTTTTTTTTTTATTTTTATAATTTAAAAAAATTTTCGTATTTGAGTTTTTATTCTTAAGCATGCTACGTATGCTTTGGATGTCCGCAAAATTTGCAGCTGGATATGGATCACCCTCAGTAAATATAATAATCATATTATAATAACATTTAAGTAAATTACTAAATTAGTCTTAACTCTTAATTGTGTTTAAACAGTCACAATCCGACAATCGCCACCTCCAGGGCCGGAATGGTTAGGCGAGCTACCGAGAAAATCTCGGTGGGCTGCTTGAAGTTTGGGCCAGTCGTGTGAGTGGGTGAAAATAAATTCGTGTTTAAATACGATTGGCCACCTATAAGCTTGTAATAATTATAGACATAATTTTGAGCCACTGAATATGTAAATGGGCCGCTTATAGAAGTAAAAATCTCGATGAGCCGATACATATACCAATCCCGGCCCTGGCCACCTCAATGGAGGTGTATGATACTCCACATCCCACAATAGTCAATATGTCATAATAATATAAACTATACGGTTATAACTTATACCTAGGTAGCCAGGTAGGTACTAAGGTACCTACCTATATTTATAAGTTACTAGCTGATCCCGTGCACTTCGTTACCCGTTAAATGTACCCATAGGCGCACATAGGGGGGGGTGCTTGGGGGTGCTTAGCACCCTCAAGCTTCAAACTAGCACCCTCAGTTTATTTCAGTATTTCACCAATCATTTATACACTATCATGGTTTATTGGTTCGGAATTTTTCTTTTCATTAAAAATATTGACAACTGTTTAAGAATTCACGAATTCATTTTTTTTTTTTTTTTTGTCTGTCATCATCTTTTAGGACAGTAAAAGTGCTTGGATTTTCTTCAACAGTATCTTTTCTGATAGGAAAGTGAATCTAGTTGGTACTTTGGGGGGGTCAAAAGCAAAAATTTCACAGTAGTTTTCAAAAGCGCCGTGAAAAACAAAAGAAAAATTAAGGAAAAACGGGAATTTTTACGCAAAATCTGTTTTCGAGAAAATGGATTTTGGTTTTTGGTGTAACTTTAAAAAAAATGACCGCAGATATATGAAATTTTCACTGGTTATTTATATTTCCATTTTCTATACACGATAAAATTTTCTAAATATTTTGAGTTATTTTGAGCTTTTTACGGAATTTTTAGTTTCCATTTTTTTTAGTTTTTTTTTTCTATAAGTATCAATAAAATGTTATTTGTTGGGTATAAAAGCTTAAACATTTAATAGAAGGCTCCTAATATATTGTTTCAAAGACAGATGAAAAATATTAAAAATCCTTAGTCACAGTTTTTTGTTATAAGCATTTAAATTCCAAATATTGACAAAATACGTGAAAATTACGAAAATTTGCAAATTATTTCGAGTTAGAAATTCATAAAAATTTTTCTTTTTAAATCTAAGATATGAAAATGTAATGCAAGATTCCTCATAAGTTTGTCTACCTTTATCAAAAAAAAAATGTCTACAAGAATCTCAAATTAAATTTTTATGAACGTTTGAAATTCATATTTTTACAACAATTGATATTCACTCGATTTCTCATGTAACGATTTTCTAATTTTGTTGTAATTAAAAAACGAATGACTGTAGATACTTGAAAATTTTACTAAATTTTTATATAAGCATTTCCTATACACCATATAGTTTTGAAAATATTTTGATTCTTTTTGAGCTATTTACGGACATTTTCAGTTTTCAATTTTTTTAATTTTTTTTTCTATTCATATCAATAAAATGTTATTTGTATGGTAAAAAAGCTTGAAAATCGAATGCAAAGCTCCTGATATATTGTTACAATAACACTTGAAAATTTTTAAAAATACATAGGCACAATTTTTTTTATAATTATTTAAAATTCAAATTTTGACAAAATTTATCACATTTAAAATTTAATAATAATTTTATAGTTAAAAATTTATAAAATGTTCAACATTTATAGCTAATGATTGAAAATTTAAAACAAGATTCTATGTAAATAGGTTATATATAAATTGCTTTATTCACCTTAGTATCATCAAATATACTTAGTAATATCATAGGCTGACTAACCGTCTTCGCTCAGAATCGTTTTTCTTATACAATGATGTTAGTATATCATTTTTTTTTTTTTTTTATTTTTATAATAATTATACAATCTATACTTTATAGCATAATAAGTATAAGTGACAAGTGACAAACAAAGCATGATAAGCGTGATTAAGAAGTCACCCACTAGTGACTCTTTGCGTGATGGGATGAGTATATCATTGAATTCAAATTTAATACCATCGATTATACAGTGACCCACTTGTACCCTACTGTACAGCAGAGCACCTTTTTTTGTTTATCAAACTTAAATAACTTTTATTTTGGTTTTGATATCGGAAATATAAAAACAAAGTTACAGAGTAAATTTTCTCATTTTTATAGTGTGAACATTTAGTTTCTTAGCTTAGAGTAGAGGCTGAATGTTTTTTATACCCGTGCAAAACAGTTTTGCCTATGTTGTACCTACGTCTGTAATACGGAGACAACACATGTGGGTGTACCTAGCGTCTTCTTTACAATCATACAGACTATTTGATACATTGCACTTTAGAAATTATTGTATACACTATACAAATTAAATCTAATGCAATGCAGAAATATTATGATTAGGGGGGTGGGGGGGCAAAGCCCCCACGGATCTGTGAACCATAAATTATCCCAGCACCCCCTAAATTCACACCCAATGTGCGCCTATGAATGTACCAACTCTATATGAATATATGGCTCAAACTTTGTTCAATTCGTTATTTAATATTCTATGTATGGTGTTCAAAATTCATCTTAACTTTTCCGTTGCCCGGTATAAATATTCTGGTTCACAGCAGTATATTATCGGGCGTATATCGATTGCGCCGAAATTACCTTTTTACCTGTAAAAAATCTATGGATTGTGCCGCCTATCAACTCCGCCGAACTTTTTTACATATCGATTTCGCCGGCTATCGACTCCGCCGAACTTTTTTACATATTGATTCCACCGAATTTTTTTACATTATACAGTAATAACAACATGTAAAAGGCTTATGTTTACATTTATGTTAAAATATATTTTATTTCATTAGTAGGTACACACTATAACTTACTGTAATTTGTAGTTAACTGGTAACAAAATAAGTTGAAGTAGAATAATACACGAACAATGAACATATAAGTTACAAACTGCAATACAAACTAATTCGTATATAATAATAAGAGGACTAAACAACAACAAAATCAGGTAGGCAATACGACCCCGTGCTGTTGTTTGTACGTAACTTTATAATTTAACTCTAAAGTATCAAAGTTATACCAAGTATGTCACTGAACTCCTCCTAAACGGCTGGACTAATCGTGAATTCAGAGCCTGTAGACCAATATTTCCTTCTCATCCACGAATTGTTTTATGTAGGTACGTAACTTATATCTATATGTGAGTATAATACTCTCAATATTTAAGTAATTTCGATACATATAATATAAAAAAACTAAATGCATTGAATGAATATACGGCAACCAA